TTCGTGTAAATCTCTTCAATGTAAATGTGTAATTGCTTAAATGGTTGGAGAAAATTGGATAATATATCCTGTATATATATATAAAAAAAAACACTTTCATAATCATGAAAGTTGGCTTTTTACGAAATCCAAATCGTCGTGGCATGCTCGAATGTCTATCACATCAGTGTTGTGCCACTGCACGGCTCACTGTCTACACCATAGCCCATCGGATCCTCTGCAATCATTTCCTTTAAGTCAACGAGATGCACCGTGCCTGGATTGTCGGGGACATGCACTGTTGCCGAGATTAATCTGATGAAACTGCAAAAGAAAATGTGGTCGTATGTAGTGTGTGGCCAGGGGTGGCTGACATCCCAGAAGGGTGCTGTCACACCTCGTGCACACCGTGACCGTGCAGGGCTCACGGACAGCCCGGCGATGTTGCCTCCCTTCACGCTCCCTCCCCGAACAAAGCTAAACACGGCACAATTCAGCAACACGGACGCGCCTACCCGGCCTGGCCTTTATATAAGAAGAGAAAAAAAATATCATATATTGCATGGCTGACTTCTAATCTCTCCTGTTCGTAAGCATTCTCCCATCTTTTGGCTGTGATGGAAGAATTCCCACAGCGAACCCATTTATCTGATGCGACAAGAAACGTTATTCCTTAAACGCGTGAAGCCAAGCGTGTTTATTATATATTTCGCTCATTTATTCGCTCCTTCCCCCCCCCCCCTAACTGGCACACAGTGCTAAGACAATAAAATATTAAGTATAGTCCAAATTATTGCTTAAGAATTAGACCAACGCGTGCGACGAGCACTGGAACGTTGCTTGCAATTACCACGTCATTCTGACAGAACACAATTGCACGCCGCTTAAAGAAGCACATGAACAGTGATCTTACATACACGCGACAGTATGAACAGTCTCCCCCCCCCCCCCCCCCCCACGATTACCCTCCCAGATAATCCTCCAAGTCACGTCCGACGTTACTGTAACCTGAGAGGGAATGCTGAATACTCATAGACGACTCAGATTCATAATAAAGGTTTTTGGGCTAGATCGCGTTATTTATAAATGTGTCGTAACCCTCCACCCGACACGGCCAAACAGTAAAAAATGTGTCACGTTTACAAAGGACAAATAGTTCACTACTTTAGCCCACCGGTGTGTTGAAGTGTGAATCAACATAATTTAAAATGAGTACGACGTTTCGCTGGTAATTACATCCAGCATCATCGGGCAATTCGTCAGAATGGTAAAGCCCTCACTTGCTCCCGGTCTTAAATAGAACAGCAGGGTGACGTCATGATTTAACTCATTCAGGTGCAGTGATTTGAGGCAGAGGGGGGGTATTGTAATTATATAATCAATTGGTAATCAGTCAATGGTTATGATTAGTAATGAGTTGTAGATTAGTAATTAGTTGTCATGTGTGTTATTGTGATTATATGCTACGTTAGTAATCCGTTAATTAGTATGTTTCCCCTATAAGGAATTGTAGTATGTATTACTAAATAATACGCTTCCAAGCCGCACTAAGCCTGTAGCTGTCAGAGCGATTAAAGTTATTTCTATTTCCCTCAATTTCAACGGATTCTCTAATTAGTCTTTGCCAGTAATAATTCGTTTTACACAACACTTCAACGTTATCAAAATCAATTGAGTGTCCTTGTTGACAAGCATGTTCTGCCACTGCCGACAGTTGTGTTTGAGATAATTTAATATTTATTTGGTGTTCTTTTAGTCTTATGCTGATGTTACGTCCCGTCTGTCCAATATAGCATCTGCCACATAAACAGTTAATCCAATATACACCTTCTGTTGATCATTTAGGTAATGCGTCTTTAGTGCAAGATACTAGGTTTTGAATTTTGTGTACTGTACCAAATCTTACTGTAATGTTTTGCTTTTGCAAAACACGGGCTAATTTGTCAGTTACTCCTGAGATATATGGAATTTTAATTGTTTTAACAATCTGATCGCTTTCAGCAGTGTTGCTTTGCGATCGTGATTTGGCATTCAGTGCTCTGTTAATTTGAGTATTATTGTAGCCATTCTGTCGTAATGCTTCTTTAACGTGTTTGATCTCTCTCACTAGACTTTCACCATCTGACACTGTTTTAGCACGATGTACGAGCGTCTTGACTCAGATGTCCAAGTGGTTGGCAGCGACGTGGTAGAAGGAGGACTCTGCGTGTCACGTAAGGTCGGCCATGGCACGTGTCCTCTGATGAACGGCGGATGCCCACGACGTTGTCATCTTATATAACTTCGTGTATTAAATGTATGATTAAATTAATATATAACAGTGTTTCCATTGTACAATATTTATTCGGTGCTGTCTCTGTGGATCGTGGCTATCTCCATATATAATAGGAAAAGTTGTGAATGTGTCTGTTCAAAATGTTTAGCGTACTTCCCGACATGCAACAAACTGGAAATTTGCCATGTGGGTACTTTCCAGACTGTACACCACGCAAAATTTATAAAAATACACTTTTGGTTTTTTTTTAGAGGGGGAGCTCAATAATGAATATATTTTTTTTGCATGGCAAGTGAGCTGTGACGTCAAATCTGTCACGTGACCCGCGCATGTGAAAGCGTAACGCATTGTAGTGTAGCGGTAGCGCGCCGCGCTACGAACCCTGCGACCCGAGTTCGATTCCCGCTCACGGCCAACACCGGTGACGATTATTTCAATCGCTTCTGGGCCTCCCCTAGATCGACTCAGCCTCAAACGAGTAACTGCTGTGGTGTGTGAACATTGCCACTGGGGAGACAAAGGCGGCCGGGCATGCTTCTGTCACTTACTCCCTCGTCAATAATAAAGAGAGTAGGGTCTACTTCACCTGTGAGTGAAATTACTTTTAGGACAATCAGCCTTTGGATCTGCTGGACAACATGAGTTCCATCAGCCGAAGAACTGTATCTATACAACTCAGCATACGGCTATAACACTGCACACCACACACATTGTGTACACCCTCTGTGTGAATTGGGCGACTTTAGCCAATGCCCATCAGTACGCTCTCATGCAGATTTAGTTACAACATATTGAGATGTTTTTTCCTCATTGTTTTGTCCGTTCCCACAATTGTATCCCAGTTGTGCTATTAGTGTCATGCCATCAGTGAAGAATCCATTTGGATCTCGACCAAAGCAGTGTGACACCCCTGTGTTAGAGAACAGCTAGCGTAAGCATTTATCACAGAGCTACTTCTGAGATCCTTTAAGTGACCTGGTCCACACAGTAGGCAGAAGCACTTTCTTACTCGTTCTGTCACGGACATTAATGTCCGTTGAATGGCAGTCAAACCAATCGTTTACAAATTATTGGAATCGCAATTCAACCAAATTAGGTGGAGGGTCAAATGTTACGTGTTGGGTTTTTTATGCAGTCAAATATCTCAGCGGTGCCAGCTCAGCAATTTGACATCCGAGCCACACGATCCCCTCAACATTATTTAGATATCATCGTCAGTTGGTTGTGACTATGATCAAATGCAATCGATTATCGCGCGGCAATATTGCCCGTACACTTAAACAAATATTAAAATAAATCTCAGCAGACGTTCATTCCCGGGAAAGAATTTCCATCCAAAGAACCAAGTCCACGGGCAGCTGACAGCACGACGCCGCTACGTCAATGAGGCAGTGGTCACTGATCAATGTGCCTCACCCTGCGTCACCAGACCCCACCAGAACGCGTAAAGTCCGATAAGGGTAAACTGCCCCTTAGGAGTGAGTTCAATTTTTATTTGGGGCATAAAATATTGACTATTTTTACTTTTCTTGCTACAATTGTGTCCCCCGCATAGCGATATATCTATGTCTGTATTATCGTACGATAACCCCGTTTCTGGTACAAAAGGCCAAGTCGCGTTCCACCAATATAAATCAGCTTCAAGTGAATACAATCCGTGTATTTATTGACTCGTTCATGCGCACATTGTAACCACACGCACACCAAATTAAAATAAACAAGATGACGGTTGCCCGGCTGGGTACACAAAAGAGAAGCGGTGGTTGTCCCATCCCTGATCGGTATGGGGGCTTTAACCCCTCTAAGAACATCGAGCTCCCCCCCCCCCACCCCCAGTTCAGCCTGAAAGACCAGGAAAGGCGTCATCACGACTCTCGTTTCTGCAGCTTTGTGCCACCCAACTCCCTGATGCCGTGGCTACATGAAGTGGAGCACGAGGGGCACGCGTGTCACGCAGGGTCGCGCCGCAGTCAACGGCCACACGTGCCGCACAGACACAGGGTCACTTTGCGTGCCCCTGTGTATGAGCACCAAGACAGGATGCGGTTTAATTCAAAACAATATTGCAGCCGACATCGCCGCTTTATACACAAATGTCATTCATTGCATAACCTTTGCAAAAATGGAAAAGTCGTTTCACCGCCTTGCTTGCATTGTACGTTTTGTAACGAAAATAGAAAAGTTAAAACGATTTAATAAAGTGTATGCGGGGAGGGGGAGCTTTACTCAGTCCCAAGATTATTGGGTTTTTTTTTTTAAAGGGGGTGCTGCTGTATTGGAATGTTTGGCCAATTCTTCAAAATGAGAGTTTGGCTTCATGTGTAGTGCAGGGAAATGGGGAACAGGGAGCAAACAACACAGACGCACACGGGGGCCGGGCAGCTTCACTCAGCGCTGCAATCCTCAAGTCGCCTCGCAGCCCCACGCCTGCGACACCCGGAAAGCCCGAGTGATCAACCCGTCCGAGCATAAATCAGGCTCAAACCTGCTTAACTTCCGAGATCCGATGAGATCGGACGCATTCGCGGTGATTAGGCGTCACTTTGTTCCGTGCTGTTTGCCTTTGCACGTGTTTCCACACTCGCACGATTTCAATCAGGCCCTATCGAAGTCGGAACAATAGACGGAGCCGTGCTAAATATCGTCGTGAGTGTGTGTGTGGGGGGGGAGATGACTTGTGAGGCACGCCTGAAGCCAGAGGTTGACATTTCTCCGACGTCACAGAGTGCAACAACGCTCCGCGCTCGGCTCGTGTTCCGTGCGTCGTTCACATCGCGACAGATCGAGAGACGCGAAGCGCGCAGACTTATCGAGATTTACGCAAACCAAAGCTAATTAATCGACAACGCCGCGCTACGGCAATAACAGATGAATGTATACATCGGTAGGCTGACCTTTCTGTGACCCTTCTTCGGAGCAGAGGGGGCGTGCGGGTGGGGGTGTGTGCAGAAGGATTGACTGTATTTAGTTGGAGATCGCACTTTTCACTGCGGGGGCCCCGAACCCGAGACATATAGAGTTGAGAAACCGAGCATCTCAATTTGATCACGACGAGGACTCAACGTACATCATCAGTGACATCATAGTGCGGCGCACACGTGCACACGCGTATGCGACGCACACACTCGCACGGAGCGAACAGCGCAAATCTGTAACGACTTGACACGCACTCTGGACTCGTAAAACGCAGCAAAATGAGCACCGGCAATGCAGTATAGGCACATTTTTATCGCCCAGAGATCCGACAGCGCCATAAAGATAGGCGATAATCCACGAGATCGCGCCTTTGGAGCTGCGAGTAAAGGTCAAACCGAGCGCGTCTCCCCCTCTACACGCGCGCCGTTATATATTTATTTGCCTCCTTAAGGCGAGACGCGCCACTCCACTCGGTTCACACGCTGCCCTCCCCTCCACACTCTCGAAGCAAGCGTATCCACGCCGGTGATCCCTAGCTTCCTCGTCACTCTGGAGAGAGGGGGGGTTGTGTGTCAATGATGTCCCTCGCCCGGGTCCTGCCGCTCCTGGTGGGGCTGGCGACCGCGAGTCGCGCCGCACTGGATTTCGGGCTCCTTCCCGGCGACTATTCCCGGGATGAGACGGGCGCAGAGCAATTCCTCGCCGATTACAACGACACGGCCGAGGGGGTGCTGTACGAGAGCGTGCTGGCTAGCTGGAACTACAACACCAACATCACAGAAGAGAATCAAAACCTGCAGGTGAGGGAGGGCGCACGGGCGTATCCGAGAGGTGGGGGGGGGGGGGGTCCCGGCCGGTGTAACGGTGCGAGTGTGTGTGATGGTGCGCGAATGTGTGAGGATTTATGAAGTGATGGCCATCCCACAAACTCTCCCTGTGCACCGTTCCGGCCTTAATAGGTACTTGCTAGCAGCATTTACCCCCAACATGCTATCTGGTTACAATGGGGAGCTTTGCTATGTTTTTGTAAGTTTAAGTGTGTGCATGTGCAGCTGTGCGTGTGTCCAAGCGTGGTTGTGTGCCTGTACCTCTTGAGTGTGTAGGGGGTAATACCTGGTGCGGTGCGTAAAAAACATCGTCACTTGAGAGACAAAGGTGGCCGGGTGTGGTGCTGGCCACCGACCCCATTGTGTGCCGTTCCAGCCTTCAGAGGTGCTCACTCGTAGCACTTGCCCCAACAGTCTGTTAAAGGCTATACGGGGGATCTTTGCAGGGGGTTTGCTGATACACGTGCGATCGCTTTCTTTCAAGAGCGCTTCGGAAACTTTTCAACTGCTCTGGTGCATGTTACCAATGCCGCACTAACATTTCCAAACGACAGCACAGTGCGTTGTTTTTTATTTCACGAACGGCGCCTGTGCACACCGAGAAGCCCACATTAGGAAACACCACGCATTTCTGATAATTCCCGCGCACTGCTCGACTTTTAGGATCCTCCCCCCTCCATCGTCGCTATTTCCACCTTATTATCACCTTTGCTGAATTCAAGAAAAGTGTCAACTCTTGTTTGTTATAATTTTAATAAATGCTGTTTGTTCCTGGCTGCTTGGCGTGTTGTCCCCTGGGTTCAGAAACTGTGGGCAGTGACGTGGCCCCTTCGCGTTTGCTGCTCGTCGCAGAGATTCGCGGTGCGATTCCAGTGGCCGCCCTGGTTATTAACTGCGTATCAAACCGTAAACATACGTGCCGTCTGCTTCACGGTTGACGTTAAAGATCGTGTGACGTAATTCGTAAAAAGTGCCGGGATAACCTGGGTCCAAATTTTCCGAAATTGAAAGAAGAAAATGCTCGCAAATTACTCCATTGGAATTTGCGTAGTAATCGTCGCCCACGACTGGGCAAACTTGGCAGGAAGGGGCATTTGGACGCCGAAAGAGCGGCGGGAAAGTTTCCACGTCCGCAACCTCCACCAACGTGTGCCTCAGTCTCTTTTTGGCAATAACACGATTGGACTGCGCCCTTTGCAGTGACCCTGATGCACAAGCAGGAGGCTTCGTGTTGAGAAACTGAGAGGCACTGTTGAACTTGTTATTCAAGAACCCTGAGGATTGTCAAGAGCCCGCTTTATGCCGCAGACATTTTGACAAGATCACGTTGCTTGTGGTTTATTTACAATAATGTAAATGTCCTTGATGGGGAAAAAAACCCAGATTTCAACACATCTTAATGTCCAACATATTTCGGTATTTACACGACCCCCCTCCCTCCCCGGATATTTTTTTTTCCACCAGGGACATACAGTACATATATTCATTTCCCATATGATGTCTTTTTCCTGCTAACGTTCATAACAAATGAATCTTCCTTAAAACAAAGGCCTATATCCATGCATTCTCAACTAAAATCTTAATTGTGAAACAGTTGCTCGTTTTTCTTTCAGTGTAGTTTAACTTTTACATTCCAACTGTTTGGCCTTTACGAATGTAGCACCTAACCCAAACACATTACCTGACCCTAATCCGTTACTGGGGGAGATGTTAACTACCTCGCCTGGTGTGCAGGTCGTGGGTTCGATCCTGACCCTGACGCCTGTATATTTAGAGTTTGCATGTTCTCCCTATGGACGTGTGGATTTTTTTCCGAGTCCTATAGTTTTTCCCCACCACATTCAGAAACATGCGTTAAGAGTATGTGGCTTCTATATATTTCCACATGATAAGACATTTTATTAAGCCATCATTTGTGGCCAGGTCGCTTCTGAAAAAAAGTTATATAGCTCAGTGGGCCTTTCCTGCTACAATAAAGTTTAGTTTAAGCGAGAACACATTCTTGATGGAACCAATATTCGTTTACACGGGTATTACATAGTTAATGTGAAAACGTGTTTATTTGAATGATTATAATAAATGATCAATTAATACAATCTTGGAATGGCTTAAGAACGTTTAATTACCAGTTCCCTCTGAGGTAGAATCATAACTTATTGTTTTAATGACCAATGTTGGAGACACCATTGTTCAGTTGGGCCATATTGCTATATTTGGGAACAACATTCGCCAGAGTTGCCTGTATGGTGTCCAGCTCCTCCAGCTGTTGCACCCAGATTCCACGGGGGACAGCTGTGAGGGCTCTACCAGTCCAAACAGGGCTTGACCCTGCCACCCGTACGCTCAGCGTGAGGTCGGCCATGGGTGGGTGAGTTGAGCGGTAGATTCGACCAGATAACAGGCTTTAAGCACGAAAGGTTTTTTTTTCAGGGGAGTTGTTTTTAGCGTTCATTCATTTTGCTTTACGAGCAAAACCCCACCGTAAAAAAAGACGAGGCACCGTTTCCCAGTCCCTTTCGAGTCAGCGCTCACATGGTCCCCCACTGTGACGGGCCCTACTCAGGGCGAGTCTCCGCTATCCAATTACGCCGTGACTGCTAAAAGGGCGGCGCACTGTGTAAACAGTATGAGAAATACGATAAGATGATTTTGCGCGTTCCTGACATGGCAGCCGCCTTACAATGGCGTATTTCGCCAGTTGCGCTTCATGTGCCATACATTAGGCAGGGTGTAAGCTGTAGACGTGTTCATGTGAGCAGAGTAGGCAGATTTACAGGAATAGGCCAGGAAATGTGCCAATCTCAGCGTGATACATGCAACGTGAAGTTCCCTGTAACTTCCCTAAATTCTGCACTTTATTATACAAAAATAAGAGTGTTAACGTTTTTTGTAATTTCATTATGGAACGAAGGACTTCTGCTGTGTGTGCCACGCGTGTCGTTTTAGGTGGCGGCAAGTTTGAAGGAGCAGGAGTTCACGGAAGCTTGGGGGCAGAAGGCCAAGGATCTCTTCGGTAACATCTCCCATGGGTTCAATGAAACGAATAAACGTTTACTTGAACAAATCAGCATTCTGGGCAGCGCCAACCTCGACATCACAGAAAGAGAAGAGGTAATGTTCCCACAGGCACGGAGGAGATGCGTTCCAGTGTCCAGTGTTGTACATAGAGTGGACTCAAGAAACCCTTAGGAAAATTGACTCGTAAGGTGGAACTATAAACATTAGACATCTGGATGTCTTCATTGTGTCATGTTCATGTACAAACAAGAACATACATTAACACGTTACATTTACGAAGAATGCAATCTTTGCAATGATTTATGTATGTTTAACAATAGTATTATGTTTACCCCTTTTTAAAAATGTAAGACCTCAGAAACTATAATGCTGTAACAAAAAATCCATGAAGCATTGGCCAAAGTTCAGCTGCAACGATCAACGATCGAAAAGTTTCAAATTCATCGACAGCACTTTTCCGACGACGTTATTTGATAGGTGAGCTCGTATCGAATTATTCATATTGCGTGCAGATTGCTGGACTTTACATTGAGCGCGAGTCGGCCGTTAAACCCACGGTTTGCCCTGGTGTACGAGTAGCACAGAGGCGCGTATTGTTTACGGCTCGTGGCGGCGGTGGTGATACGATTACAAGGTCTACTGCGGCACATTCGTGCCTACGTGTGCGCGTTATCGTTGCGCGTTGTGGCTCACAGTACAATCGACTGCTATCTGATATGGACGCGATCTACAGCACGGGCAAAGTGTGCAAACCCGGGCAGACAAGCGGGACAGACTGCGCACCCTTGGATCCAAGTAAGAGCGGCATTTCCCAACATCACTGGTGCTGTTAACAGAAAATCAAAGGTTACATTGCCACGCGCACACATACATTAGCATACGTTTCTGCTATGCTTTCAACAATAAGATAACTGACAAGGTCATTCAACGCCTGCCTTAGTCAGATCCCCATGCCTTACCACTCGGTACTGGCTCCACGGCCTGCGGCGGTAACAGCAAGACGTATAAAGATGCCCCGTATAGTCTTAACAACAGAGCGAGACGCACCTATGAAGGCCGGCACCACGCTCGGCCGCTTTTGTTTCCCTAGTGGCGATGTTTAAACATCTCACCAGGTCCTCATTTGAGGCTGAGTCGACCTAGGGGAGGCCCAGGACCGGTTCAGATAATCGTCACTGGTGTTGGCCGTGAGCGGGAATCGAACCCGGGTCGCCGGGTTCGTAGCGCAGCGTAGCGCTAACTGCTACACTACCGCTCCCCACTATACTCACACTCGCACAATGCTGTCAACGACACATGGCAGTATGGGGGTGGGGGTGGAAGTCAGAAAATGATGGTTACAATAATTATTACTACTGTGTGCCAAATTCAATGTTTGGGAAGACTTACTCTTGCATAATGAGCCGATAAAAGTGCCAACAAGATGACTCATTATTCCAAAAAGGGAGCTGCAGTGCCAATCAAGCCTCATATTCGGAAAAAATATAATGTAATACGACTATGTTATGGGAGCCTGGGGCGAGAAAGTAAATGTTACTTAGATGTGCACATTGAAGTGACGTACAGAATCACTGGAGGACTGGAATAATGCAATCTCTATTCATCTCTCAAAATAAAACTCACATTAAATGTAAAGCATTTCCTCAAAATAAATGCAGTACTCTAATAGCATTATGACCAAATCGCCCACAATGCACCAAAACTTTTCAGGGTCCCCGAAGCTCAGCTGAGTTGAGCCTGGACGTGCTTGGATGGCTGACCAGTGCCCAGCAGACGCTTCCGCTCCTCTATGGGCAGCAGAAGGCAGTTAAACTTGATCCTATGCAGTATACATGCACAATGTATTAACATACGGCTGTTATTAATGTTTAGCACTGGGCACCTTCACCGTGTGGGTTAATTACCTACGGCCGCCGGCACATCAAGGCCCTGTTCTAGGCAGTCTCACCATAGTCAACGTTGCCATTGCAAAGGCAGCTGTAATTTTTATTCAGCTTTCCTTGGTTGATTGAAGAGTCATCGTTTTCTCAACCGCGCTGTAGTTTCGACAGTGGGTGTTCGTGATATAACAACGCTTGCCGTGCAAGGGTTGTCCACCAGTTAGCAGCAGGTAGAGCGCCCCTCTGTCACTCTCTACCGGGGCAGGGCATGCAACTGGTACAGGTTACAGGTCACTAAGGTCACAATGCACAGGTGCGAAGGGATTTAAATATACACACATGCGTACACACATCGCATGTGCAGGCCTCAAGCCAGCGGCGGGCGTTAGTAACGCATTTGCTTCGCGTTGTGTCACCGATGGCGCCGACATTCCCCGCACACTTTTCTCCCGCGCAGTATCCATGCCGCAGCCTGTAACCCAGAGCCAGGAACTGCTGCCCTCGTGCATGGAACACGCGCACGCTTCTTCGAGCACAACCCCCGAGCGAAATCGAATAGGACCTTTACGAATGCAACAAAAAAAGATGTTACGAAGTTAAGACAGAATTTCCGCGTCACTCAAATGAACGGTGCCACCCAGCCGCCCTCAACCCATCCACATCACCCCATGACCCGCGGCCGCTGTTGCATTGTGCCGCGGCCGGTTGGTGTGCAGCCATCACGGACATCCTGGCGACGTCACGGAGCTACAAGAAGCTGCTCTACTACTGGGAGGGCTGGCACAACGTGGTGGGCCGGCCACTCCACAGCAAGTACGCTCGCTTCGTCGAGCTCAGCAACGCCGCCTCGCAGCTCGACGGTACGGCGCGCGACCTGCGCATGCCCCCCCCCCGCCCCTCCCCACCCCCCACATCTGCGGTGGCTCCAGCCTTTCCCCGGCACTAAACAAAAAAAATGTAAACTATTTATTTATTTGACCAGGCAAGGCCGACTGAGATGTGTAGCTCTTTTTCAGAAGCGACCTGGCGATCACAAATGATAGCCCAACGAAGTGTGGCTCATAATCGTGTGGGAATAAAGAGCAGCCAAACTACTCTATAAACGCGTGACGTTGATTCTGAACGTGGAGGGGAAACCTGGAGGATCCGGCGAAAAATCCACCCGACAACGGGGAGAATATGCGAACTACAAATATACAGGCGTCAGGGTCGGGATCAAACCCACGACCTCCTGCGTACCAGTCGAGAGAGTTGACATCTCGCCACCGCGGGAAATTTGGGGGAGAGGGGCGGGTGAATCTTTGACTCATTGGGGGACGGGGGGTGGTGCTACGCAGAAATATTGTTTGGGAGCGTCACTCATAACTTAATATATTATAGGATGGGCAAAGTAAGTGACCTAATTATGACAGGTAGGTGAAATAATTTAGTGATCAATCTTTATTTTACGTGCCAATATCACCCTCAATAAAGTAGACATCGATTAAAGTTAGTTTCAGAGTGTTATTAGAATCACGAGCAGTTTTTTTATTTATTTTATGAGCATCTACGTTTGAGCTAATATTTGAGCACACCTTTACATATGTTCTATGAATGCGGGGCGCCTTGAGCCACGTGGGAGACCTACGCTTTTTTCCTTTGGGGCCTCTGCCAAGCAGCACCACTGGGCTAGAGGCAGAAGCTTCTGCACGCGATGGCGTTTGGGAAGCAGCCAAAAACACCGCCACCTGGATTCACTGTCGTGCCAAGAGTCTCCCCTCCTCCCCTTTACAACAGGCAAACCCGCAGCTCTGGTGCCGTATTATTGCCAAGAACTGGGGTAGGCGAATTTAAGACCGGGGTGGCTTTTGCTTTGAAAGGTCACACACTACGCTATTATTGGTCACGGAATCCTCTGCTGTCTGCTGGTAGAGTGGAATAAGTTAGAAGATGGCGTGCGACTCCTGGTTACAGCCACTGTGAAAGATATGGTGGATGTGGTGTGTCGGGTGGGGAACTATTTTCCACAGAACCGACCGCTACGCTGACACAGCTGAAACTGAGCCCCGACTGTTATCACTTCATGGCGATATTTGTCTGACTCCGTTTCATGCATAGTCCAGCACCCATTCGCTTTGTTACATCAACTGGGACACGTGGCAGTACAGCACAGCAATGTATGTTGTACAAACCCACCTGCAACACATAAGCAGGACCGAAACTAACAGAAAGAAATGACTCTTAAAACAACGTCGTTGTTCGTATTCATTAATTACAAGAGGTCACAACCGTCAAAATGAGTTTATTTGCAAGACGAAATCGAGAGGGTAATTCACAGGACACGAGGCTGTAACTTGCTCAGGTTAACAGTTTTCACAATAACTTGCAGGCGTTATTGAGGGCCAAATGACGCTCTTGCTGAGGCTTCGAGGCATCCATAAAGGTTAACAATGCGTGTGGAGGATTTATGATCATCACTTACTGTAGTCCATTGCTTTCTCCTTTGGGTTGTTGCCCCCCTTGCATTGGCACGTAAACATCGTGTGAAGCATTCTTCGCTTTGCCAAGGTTCCAGGTTTAACTGGGGGTATAACGAGTTCCCTGATAGCTCTACGATTTCTCATAGCGCTCGTACGAAGTTGCTCATGGCTCTTAAGCATGGGCCAACTTCTCCGGCCCAGTCACTCTCTCAGCCTTTCGTCGTCGCTGTTCGTGAGCACGGTGGAATCACGGGGAAGCGGCTCGGGGAAAAAAAATGAACCCAGTAATTAGAACCGGCATCATCAGGCGACAGCCAGCGTTGTGGAGAGAAATCCTCCTCCCAGTTTTGGTCTCAAATAGAGGGGATAAATGCGATGTCGTCACTTGTGTGCCAATCAGGTGTGAAGGCCAGAGGGAGGGGGGTTAAGGTATGCATATAAATGACAATGAATATCCATCACGGGTTGGCGGCATCGACCTCCTCCACCACCACCACCCCGGGCAGACTTTGCGGACACGGGGGAATACTGGCGCTCATGGTACGAGTCGGCCACCTTCCGCGATGACCTGGAGCGCATCTACGAGGAGCTGAAGCCGCTCTACCTCAACCTGCACGCGTACGTGCGGCGCAAGCTGCACCAGCACTACGGGGAGAAGTTCGTCAACCTCAAGGGGCCCATCCCCGCTCACCTGCTCGGTGAGCTCGCGACCCGGCACTCTCGCACACAAGCACAAAGGTCTCCCATCTAGCCCTGCATAGGCTGCCGTTGGCAAGCGGTGCTGGCGACCACCCTTTGGCACGCCCGACACCACGCCCGGCCACCTTAATCTCCCCAGTGTTGATGTTTACGAACTGCAGCAGGTAACTCATTTATAGGTGGGGGGAGACACAAGTTCAGTTGGGATGTCGCTCGCCACTGATGTTAGCCTTAGCCAGGAATTGGAGTGAGGTCACTGGGTTCATAGCTCATGGTCTAGCCTGCTGCTGCCCAGCCACTGCCCACACGTACGCACAGATATACTCAAGGCCGTGCACACTCACCACAAAGATAAAGATCCCCCATATAGCCTTAACAGACTGTTGGGGCAAGTGCTGTTAGCAAGCACCTGTGAAGGATGGCACGGTACTCTAAGAGGTGGATGGCCAGCACCACGCCCGGCCGCCTTTGTATCCCTAGTAGCGATGTTTACACATAGCACCAGATACTCATTTGAGGCTGAGTCGACCTAGGGGAGGCCCAGGAACGGTTCAGATAATCGTCACTGACGTTGGCCGTGAGCAGGAATTGAACCCGGGTCGCCAGCTTCGTAGCGCAGCGCGCTAACCGCTACACTACCACTCCCCATGCACACGATTAAATGTAATTAATAAATTTGATTACTTTATATTACATTTAAATAATAAAAAAATTAAAATATATTTTGTATTAATCATTTTTATATGAATACAGTATTTTTGGGTTGTGGAACGAATCATCTGAGTTTCCATTATTTCTTATGGGGAAATTCGCTTTGATATGCGAGTGCTTTGGATTACGAGCACGTTTCCGGCACGAATTATGCCCGCAATCCAAGGTTTCACTGTACCTTGTAAACGTGCTTGCACTAATAAGTCGCTATGTACGGTGCGAAAGAAGTTCAACATAATTGCTAGATTATAGATGTGAATGTGGAGCTTGTATTCTCCTGCACTGTGTCCTTACTTCCTACCTCTTAAGGCAACATGTGGTCCCAGCAGTGGAATAACATCTTTGACATGGTGGTCCCCTACCCCGGCAAGACCAGCGTGGACGTTACAGACACCATGGTGGAACAGGTACGGCGTGCCTCTTCGCCACAACCAACGTTCGCGTGCTCAGCGACAGAGCGAGTGGCTCGCAATTGTGAAAGGCTGTCGAGTTCAAATCCTGGTCAGGGGTTGAAACCGGGCCCCATAATCCCTCTGGGGTCGAGAAAAACGAGTACTACTTTGTGGGCAAGTCAACAGTGGTTGTCTTGTGAAGAGACTAGCCCAGTCATAGGAATGAGGAATTTCCACCACTGGCTCAGTGCTCACTGCCTCAGTGCTCATTTGTGTACTCAAGCCTCTCTTTGCATGCGTTTATTGCTGCTCAGGGATGGAACGCCACTCACATGTTCCGCACCTCCGAGGATTTCTTCAAAGACCTGGGCCTCTTGGAGATGCCTCCTGAGTTCTGGAGTGGCTCCATGCTGGAGAAGCCAGCGGACGGTCGCGAGGTCGTGTGTCACGCCTCCGCCTGGGACTTCTACAACCGCAAGGACTTCCGGTGAGCACACGGCAAGACCGCTGCTGTTCCAGTCTGCAAGAGGATTCACACTGCACACACCCATGCAGGTTACATTGACACGTCGCGTCTAGGTGTTGGTGCGGATATATGCTTGATGCTAACTTGCAGCCCTAAATCAGTAATTTTTTTAAGTAGTTCTTTTCAGAATCCAAATCTTTATTGAACCTGTAGAAATCCGATGAGCTATGAAGCTCTTTTTCAAAGATGTCCGGTAGTCACAATGTCTAGTAGATCTCACATCAATGTCGCTTTGGAAATAATTGCTCATGATTTGTAACAGTGTTTTGCATCAATGCATTTTCTAAACATTTTCTACATTCACACTAGAGGCGATGATGATAATGGCAATTACACATTTACAATTGTTACTTCACAATGACATGATAAACTTACAAAATACTGTATATATGCTCACGTATACACATACCTGTCAACCCCTTATCAGTGCCTACCTTATTACAGGCCAATTCAGACCTTATTGTTCACCCCGTGGCCTTATAAATCTCACCGTTCATCTACAAAGTCCCATCACAAGAGAGAAACACAAAAAAATAGATAACATCATAACAATGTGCCCGTATTGAAACGGCTGTACGCCATATGGACCTGACAACTCAATCTCCCTGTACAAAAATACGGCGTAAATCGTATGGGTTTTTAGCTGTGTATGCATTTGTTGAGAGTCCATTTCAGCAGATAAACTCCTGGTCCAGCCTGATATCTCATTTTACCAATTGCCAGCGCCATGCCCCTCACTGCCCCCTCCTGCCACCACCCCGAACTGACTGCTGCGCACGTGTCTCTTGCTTGACACGAACGCGACGCAGCGATCCCTCACGGAGACAACGTCGGTCGCAGAGCTCACAAAAACATTTATCGTGGCGTCGTTTGTGAACGCCTTCTACCCGGCGCATCCTAGAGCGGCGCGTACACAGAGGTTCATGCGGACTGCTACTGACCGCGTCAATTTGAGGACCAGTTGAAATGGTTTATTCACACCTCTGCAGGATCAAGCAGTGCACCATACCAACGATGGAGCAGCTCTTCACGGTGCACCACGAGATGGGCCACATCGAGTACTATCTGCAGTACAAGGACCAGCACGTGTCCTTCCGTGGCGGCGCCAACCCCGGCTTCCATGAGGCCATCGGCGATGTGCTTTCCCTCTCCGTGTCCACGCCCACACACCTGAAGACCATCGGCCTACTGGGCCCCGACTATGTCGGGGACAAAGGCACGTATGCACGCACGCACGGTACCACAGAGACACTTCCAATGCACGCAATACTTATAATAAACCAGGCCTCCCTTGATTAACACACTCTTCATTTAATTGGCCTCTTACCCAGTAATAGGTAGGGCTTAATTGCAGCCTGGTCTGTGCCGGTCAGTGACGCGCAAGCATATTTCAGAAGCCAGCGCAGTGCGTCAAGTAGACCTCCCGCTTTGGCTGCGGCTGCAGGTCACAGCCTGCTCCGTTCTGCAGCAACCCCAAACAATATTCATCAAGTCATTAAGCCCTGATTCCAATTAAAAGCCACCTACTGCTTCTACCACAACCAGAACCTCCCCCCCCCCCCCCCCCCCCCCCTATTGCTGGCACCTACACAAGCCGTACAGCACCACCCCTCAAAAGCGATCGGATCACCCAAATGCAGCCGTTGGATAATGATCGAGATTCCTTGGTGCCTCGAAAGCAGTGGGGGTGGGGTTGGTCAGGCCCCGTGTGTCCTGTCTCCAGGGGAGACCTGTGATGTCCTTATGTAATTGAAAAGTTTAGTATTCCGATTTTTTTTTAAGAACAAAAGGAAAAATTAGTGAAGCCGATGCCTTTATTAAAATGTAAATTGAGCTCCGTGAGGGAGAAGGCAAAGCAGCTGGAGCCATCAATCACACACCTACGTGTTTTTCAGCAGAGGCACCAGGGCAGTGTTGTGAGAGATATCTGGAGCGTCTGTGAATGGCAAACATCGTGACGTCTCACAACGCCAACGAGCAAATGTACAATCTGCCCAACTCCGCCTTAATTTCTCGGGAACAAATTTAAATAAATTATGCGCAGGCATTGATTTCCGAAGCAAGCTGACGTATGCACCGATATCTCGTGACGTTGTGAAACTTTTCATATGGAATACTAAATTAAAGTAAAGGGTTTTGGAACAACATTATGAAAACCGCATAATTGGTCACAGTCCTTTCCACTCTACCCCAAATACGTATGAAGCTTCCATGCCGCCGTCCCTGCCATGTTATGGTACCTGTGGTATATACCTGTGGTATAAGTGGGGGGGGGGGGGATGCAGGACTACATCGGTGGTTCAGATACCTCCGATGTTAGCCGTGGCCGGGAATGGAACGCGTAGTTGCTCGCTGAGAACTCCCCTAACACTGTCCAAAATGCAATGTACTTCTCCCCATACGTGATCCTACTTTGACATCGAACGTTGCCCTGCAATGGCTTCATTCCAGTGTCACAAAAATATACAAAGATTACCCGTATAGTTTTAAAAAGACTGTTGGGGCAAGTGCTGTTAGCGAGCACCTGTGAAGTCCGGAACCAGGTACTAACTTAAGGCTGAACTGACCTAGGGGAGGCCGAGGACCGGTTCAGATAATCATCACTATATTTTGTGGTCGTGAGCCGGAATTGAACTCGGGTCGCCGGGTTCGTAGCGCAGCGTGATAACCGCTCTCCAGTGTCACACAGATGCACATACTTTGCTGCTCATGTTCATAGTTTCATCCGAATCAAGATGCCATCGTGGCCAAAGCCGCTGATTCCAGCACCACCCCTCGCCAACATTGCCTACCCTCCTCCAGATCCTGCAACAGCTGCCACGCAGTAGTCACGTGACCTCAAAAGATCTTGACCCTGATATTCTGCCACCATCAGGGGTAAGGTCGTAATCATAGTTAGGATGAGGGTGAACATTTCTTCCCGTTGATTACATATATTCAATCTGCTATCTGATCGTTACGGTGCCTGTTCGTGTTTGGTGAGCGAGTTGATCACGGTAAAGCCATGGTGCCCTCGCCCTTTAACCGACCGACCACAGAGAGTGACATCAACTACCTGATGAAGATGGCACTGGAAAAGATCGCCTTCCTGCCCTTTGGCTACCTCATCGACCTGTGGCGGTGGGACGTCTTTAGCGGGAAGACCCCTCCCGAGCGCTACAACCAGGACTGGTGGTATCTCAGGTGAGATTCACTCCGGTGTGTTTTCCCCTCCGCATTTAGTTAGAAACGTGCGTTTGAGGATATTTGGCTACTGCTATGAATTCCCACGTGATAAACCACTTCGTTGAGCTGTCATTTGTGGCCAGGTGGCTTGTGAAAAATAACTAAATAGCTCAGTGGGTCTTACCTGGTAAAATAACAAAAATGGTTTAAAATAGTTTCAAATTCACTCACCTCCTCCCACCCCACAAGGTCTCGTGTATCAGCTGAGATTTGAACCCTGCAGTTTTTAGGTTACGGTCACCAGCAGAACTCAAATAATATTTGCATGACATTTCAGAGGAGGATCCTCTTCTTGGAAAAGTGTAGCCTGCACTCTGAGTGTCGGTCCACACTCCCAGACCCACGTGGGCTGCACGCTGGAGTCTCTGAGTGTCGGTCCACACTTCCAGACCCACGTGGGCTGCACGCTGGAGTCTCTGAGTGTCAGTCCACACTCCCAGACCCACGTGGGCTGCACGCTGGAGTCTCTGAGTGTCAGTCCACACTCCCAGACCCACGTGGGCTGCACGCTGGGGTCTCTGAGTGTCAGTCCACACTCCCAGACCCACGTGGGCTGCACGCTGGGGTCTCTGAGTGTCAGTCCACACTCCCAGACCCACGTGGCCTGCACGCTGGAGCCTGCGGGGCTCACAAGGCGAGCGTTTGATTCCGAGGCATAAGGGTCCGTGGTTACGACACTGCATTCACTTATCTCCATTTCAAAAGAGACATCTTACAACAACTGGCTCTCATGTGGTTATAAATAAACATGATCGTGCATAAATAATGTATAGGTCAGCACATTAAACATTAATTGAAGTTGATTCAAAAAATATATATTTTACAACAACGCGTTCTCGGTTGCCCGAGGCTTTTTTGCATTTCTAAAACATGTGCTTGAAAAGCGCGGGTCAAAGGGCACTGCTGCGATGGTGTTTATTGGCGCGTTGCTCTCACAGGACCAAGTACCAGGGGATCTGTCCCGGCGTCCCCAGGAAGAGCACGGACTTTGATGCCGGTGCCAAGTTCCACATCCCCGGAAACACGCCCTACATCAGGTGCAGCAGCTCCTCCACACCGCTGTGGGCAGACAGGCCTAACGCGCACTGACACGCTCATCATCGTTGTTGTTACCAGCCACGTGCGATCCGCTGCTGGATGGAAACCTCCCGAAACTCCTGCCATCTCTCATGATCAAGTGACTTCCTGCTCGAATGGGCATCGAGGCATTGGTGCTCATCTCCCGTTTATAGCCCTGGGCCACTGATGGGAATTGCGCATTCCGATGACAAGGGTGTGTCAATGCATTTGACAGCTGCTGTTTTACAGCCTCAGAAGGTGAATACGCTCACGACTACGATTTTAATTTATGGGCTAATTGTCCAGGCTATGATCCCCGACTTGTAATCGGTACGCGTCTCAAGTTACAACCGCCTTCATCGTTTGGCCCGATGTGTGTGTGTGAGCGCACGTGTCGAGAGGGGTGGTGTAGTGGCGGTGAGCGCGCCGCGCTACGAACCCGACAACCTGAGTTCGATTCCCACTTATGGCCAACACCAGCGACGGTTATCTAAACCGGTCCTGGGCCTCCCCTAGGTTGACTCAGCCTCAAATGAGTACCTGGTGCGGTGTGTAGTAAACATCGCCACTGGGGTGACAAAGGCGGCCGGGCGTGGTGCTGGCCACCCACCCCCTCGTGTGCCGTGCCGGCCTTCATAGGTGCTCCTCGCTAACAGCACTTGCCCCAACAGTCTGTTATAGGCTATCTGGGGGATCTTTGTTTTTTTTTTGTGTGACTGAAGGTACTTTGTGAGCTTCATCATCCAGTTCCAGTTTCAAAAGGCGCTGTGCACGGCTGCCCAGGACAAGGGGCCCCTGTATAAGTGCGACATCGACAAGAATCAGGCCGCGGGCAATCTCCTTCGGTGAGGGTCCAGCACGGGCAACAGGGAACGCAGCTGCAGCCTCCCTCTGGAGGTCGACCCCGCGTGGTGACCTTGACGATGATTTTGCTCAAAGCCTGGCGGCATAAACCATCATCACACGGACTTTCCGCAGCAGCAGCAGCAGCGGCTTTTGGCTGGCCGTCAAACAAAGACGGTGGTCACCGCGTTGGGTGCTTTCAGATGCGTTTCTGGAGCTATGCACCCAAAAATCTAGATTGAAAACGAATTTCTTTAGAACTGCTTTTTGTGCTTAGTTTGTTGTCCTTCCTACGCATGGTTGGCTCCATACGCTGCGAAATTAATAAGTCTAACGTACGTACATATGTACATACATACAACTCGAGAGAGGCATGACACAGTCAATGTTAAGAAAACCATAATCGAATAGTAAACTCTAAACACAATGGGTGACTATACGGTTGTCTCGGAGGAGTACCCATACTTTACCCCACCACCCACAACATGCCGATCGACCACTGCTGGGAGGACAGAGGCTGCCCATTAAATAAATTGAACCTTTATATGCAACAAATACCTCTTAAAATATGTATTCTAACATCCATGCTTGATGCTGGAACTGATGAATCGATGTGTCGTTCCACCCCGGGCGATCAACTCTCGCGCGCACGCGCACACGCATGTGCTCCGCAGGAAGGCCATGCAGATGGGCTCCAGCCGCCCGTGGACAGAGGTGATGAAGGAAATGACGGGCACGGACAAAATGAGCGCCCTGCCGCTCATCGAGTACTTCAAGCCCGTCATCGACTGGCTCGAGAAGGAAAACGTCAACGAGACGCTGGGCTGGCCCGAATTTGCGTGGGTGCCGCCAGTGCCGGATGACTACCCCGGGAATCTGGGTGCGCCCCGAGCATGGCAACACACGGCGACACGCGGGGAGACACTTAGCGACACGCGGCGACACACGCTGCCGCACGTAGGCCGCCAACAATTTCGATTCCCAGCCACGGCCAACGTTGACGAGCGATACCAGAAGCAGCCCTGCCCGTTCCCGACTCCCACTTCACCGATCCACGCTCACTGGCGTGGTGGAGAATGGTCGTAAAAATCCCAACCGGCGTGGCGTTGGTGTTTTGAGAATGGCAGGGAGTCTTTAAAATATATTGTTTTATTTAGTTTGCTTATTAATGTTTAATTCATAATGTGAACTCAAACATCGTGTCGGGATGATGTCAAGCAGAGCTATAGCCCTCCACCACCAGACACAGCCAAACATCCCGAGTTGTCACGTGGCCAAATGTACCCCTTGATTATATTTTTCAGCAAACCGGTTACGTTGAAAAGCAAGCACATTTTTGACAATGTTATACTTCGGCATTGCCCTGGAGATTTTGCCCAGCCTCATCAGGTGTTTGCAACAGCTACAAAATAAAACAAAGATGTCAATCATTTTTTTTCTATGTTACCAATTTGTTCAACAGGAATAATGTGACATCATCTGGTGAAAGCCTCCAGGCAGAATGATTGATGGTCGTGTAGTTCATATTTTAGAAAATCCCCAAGCAGCATCATTACCTTTTTTTTTGGTTGCTTGATACGCCTTCAGCAAGCGGTTCCAAAGTAATTTCACGAAGGTCAGTGCACACATCTGACCGCTTATGCTCGCCGCAAAACAAAAATGTTAGATTGGACTTGTAACGTGAACATTTTTTAAAGATCTAAATAACAAGAGGTGTGTTTAACACGTAGGCTTTCGCGACCAATATGATCCATATGAGGTTTCTTTGGTTAGAGGTTTTTTGGGTAAGAGGCTCACTTGTGATGACATCACATCTATCCCTCTATTTAAGAATGAAACAGGATTTCTCCACAAATATGGCTGTCGCCTGGTGATGCTAGTTGTAATTACTGGCGAAACGTCGTACTCGGATTGTAAATATTGTGGATATACTCTCCAACACACCGGTGTGCTGTATTAGTAACGAACTGGCATGTTCTGTTTACGTCACAACCCTTACTAATTGGCTGTGTCTGGTGGTGGCAGGTTTAACCACACATTTATATTTATGAGATCTAACCCAAAAAAAAACCCTCTTATAGATAACAAGAGGTGTCTCAGTAACTCAGAAGTCAGAGCGTTGAGCTGGCACTTTACGAGATCCTGAGTTTGAATCTGGGCACCTGCCCAAGGTTATAATGGGTTCCCGAGCGTAGAGAGTTGATGGTTTCACCCGGCTCGCAGATGCCAATTCGGTTTTCACTTAATTTTTGCTAAATTCCAGCTCAGTATAAGAAATGTGGGTTTGATTGCCGGGCGATAAACAATCTCATAGCAGATTGTACGGTTTAAAGAAGCCACATGTTGTTGTTTTTTTCCTCTCCTATGAAAAATCTTTTTGGGAGAAATTATCTTACGCGATGAGTGTAATGCCGTGCGATATTTCCAAATGTATTCAACGTCTGATCGAGTGATGCCAATCGCACAGTTGGAACACATTAAGGGGTGAAAAAAGATGAAAAATGTGTTAAACAAATAATCGCAATTACAAGGAAATCCACATAACTGACCTGTGTGCATAAATGGCAATTAGAAAACCTTATCACTCTTTTTCACGGGAGAAAGCATGACCGTTATTGTGCTTAATTTCTGCTCGCAGATAAAATCACCGATGAGACCCAAGCGATAGCTCTGTTGGAGGAGTACAACACCACCGCAGAGAAATATTGGTCGGAGTACAACGAGGCGTCATGGACCTACAACACCGACATCACAGAGGAGCACGACAAGCTGGTGGTGAGGCTTTCCAGCTCATGCCACGCATGTGTCTCAGTGTCGGGCACTTTGGTCTCCCGGCGCCGGGCCGTGGGGCCGCACTTGCTCGCACGCAGCCTCCGACGATGATGACGACGACAATGATGATGGGATACCATGTTGCACGTTGAGATAACATCCGTCATGTAATGGCACAATTAGGTCCAAATGCGGATGGCCATTATCTTGGTGGAACTGTGAAAAACAATATGGCGATTATAAAGTGTACCATGTTATTACGAAGCGTCTATTTTCTGACGTGCACCATAACCTCTTACATCTCGGTGTCAAATTGTAGGAACAGCATTTTGTATAGTTCAGGCTGAAATGAATCACTCACTACAACAAGTATGAGGCATCGTGGCTCAGTTAAGTTAATTTGTACTCCTGGTCCCACTGCGTGGAGTGCAGCCACCAAAAGAAAACGCTTGAAGTGTCCCTTTTACACGGGCAGAGGTTAAATCGCTTGCTGCCAGCACGATCGTCCCTGATCCCTCTTCACCTCACAGACGAACGTCTTGTTTTATTGTGCACGCGAACACAGCAAGAAGCCAACTTACGGATGGCCAACCACTCGCTCTACTTCGGACGAGATGCTCTCCTTTACGACTGGTCCAACTTCCAAGATGAGGGCGTCAGGCGGCAGCTGAAGAAGATCAGCCAGATTGGCACAGCCGCGCTTCCAGAGACTGAGCTCAAAGAGGTACCCACTCCCACAGCCACGTTCAACCAACACCGTGAACGTGCCGGCCCAGCCAACCGCCCAGTTGTATTTGACACTTGTAATGCAGTAATCTCCGTGCATCTATCTTGTTGTTTCTGTCACTTAATTGACTTTGAATGTTTATTTTTTAAAGTAATTTGTTCGAGGCCATTTTCGTGACAGGACATCACAGCCTTTTATATTTTGTACAGCATCTTGTGCACATTGAAAGTGTAAATTATTATTCATTTGATTTAACATTGATTTTGTTTGGATGCTGTTTTTGCAATTGCTTTTGACATGTGGTAATGTTTTTTGTCTTCTTTGGTTCTTTCGGTAAAGTCACGTAGAATGAGAATAAAATAATAAATTGATCAAATAAAATAACACAATAAAATTCTCATGACGTTTCGGCCACAACACAAGCGGCCTTCATCAGGTCTCGTCCCTTCACCTGATGAAGGCCGCTTGTGTTGTGGCCGAAACGTCGTAAGAATTTTATTGTGTTATTTTATTTTATCAATTTATTATTTTATTCTCATTCTACGTGACTTTACCGAAATAACCAAAAAAGATGAATCCTTGCAGTCACGAAAGCTTTAAATCGAAAAATATATTTTTTTTGTTTTTGCTATATTGTTGCGATTAGTTTTTATGTTAATGATTTTGTTATTTTGGTGGCCTCTCTTGCTTGTCGCTTCATTTCTAAACAAAATGAACTTGAACCTTGAACCCTACCACAGCCAGAGCCCCAGCATTAGCTCAAAACAAGAAACACCAGGCTTGGCCCAGAGGGTGCAGGCAAAAGGTTTAATGTTGATGCAGGTTTATACCGTGTGAACCGTCCAGCGGGTTGCTTGGCCATGCTGTTCAGAGCCGAGGTGAGAGACATCTCAGCCGCCAAATGCATCGATGTTAACGCCGCCGCCGCCACCTCTAACGTTGTCAACAGGATCAAAAATGGGCGCGTTTCACGCGAGCGTGAAGCGTGCTTATAATTATTTCTCCCGTCCAATTTTGTTCCAGTACAACGAGATCGTCTCGCGAATGGAGACCGCTTACAGCGTTGCCAAAGTGTGCCGAGGCGAAACGTGCATTCCCCTCGATCCCGGTGGGTGTCTCTTCCACACCGCCACACCTGCCCCGCGACCAACGCCGGAGTCACAATGCCGCGCTCGTTAGCGCTGTGACGAGCGACACACGCAAACAGCGCCATGCAGCCCCACCCACAATCGCAGCCTCCAGTCTCGGGTTTCCACGACGTTAAAATTACAATACTGCATCACATTTCACGATACGATGGTATTTATCATGATATCAGCTTCCCGTAACTTTGAACTTGGTATTAGTTCTCTGCTGTCCTCAAGCTCTTCCTAACTGCAGTGCCCTCGACTTGAGCGTCCCACGGGGGCTTCTGCTCTGTGCAATCTGCAATGCTCGTAACGCACCATGCTGTCAGTCGCAGACAAATAATTGAATGTGGATGACGAAAACAACCGCATCATAAAATACCATCATGCTGTCAAATACTCCACGGGTTTTTTTTACAGGCATTTTAATTTATAGCAAAATACATTTGTTATTTCATACTTAATTTGCCAGGGAATAAAAGGCGAGAACATTTTTTTTTTATCAGCAACGATAATCTTGATACGGTATTTTTTTGTAAAATGAACGATGCGATTATCATAAATCTTACATCGTAGCATTATCAGTGCTCAAAATAGGCCGGTATACGACGTACAGTACGCCATTCCAGCTCTTCTCAGAACACCAAACACCTATACCGAGACCTTTCAGAATGTTTGAACCCAAAACAACGCTCATGTATGCGCTTGGGGGTAAACGGCAGTGAGCGTGGGCTGCGGGACGAAGAGGCTTCGCACGAGGACCTCCGAGTACGGCGATGCCCCGGTGTACGTCGGGGGGGGGGGATGCGTTCCTGAAACGTGCGACGGCGAATATCGAAAACGACGTCAATCGAAGCGATTTACAGGGTGGAGGCGAAAGCTGAGGCGACGGATAACGCGAAAGGACGGACGACGTTTGGCATTGAAGGCGACGCAAATCAGCTAGCGGCGTTAAAGCGACGACGAATTTGTCGAAAGGACGTGAAAGTGAGGAGGCGTATATGGGGGTACGACCGTATCGACCGCGGTGCCGCACCCCGGCGTCCTGATCCCACGGCAAGGGCGCCGACCGTAACCGTGACCCCGCCATCCTGCAGACATCACGGCCATCATGGCGGAGTCGAGGAACTACGACGAGCTGCTCTACTACTGGCAGGGCTGGCGAGACGCCTCCGGGCGGAAGATGCGGGAAGACTACGTGCGCTACGTGGAGCTCAGCAACAAGGCCGCGATAGCAAACGGTGAGCGCGGCACGGGCGGCACTGCCGGATGAGGGCCCTCGGTGCGCCGTGGGGGGGGGTTGTTTGACTCGTACTTCACCACGCCGGACAATGCGGTTGGTAAAGGCGAGGAGCGTAGACATGGGAGCATAGAACCACAGCAGTCCGTTCTCCTACGATGCGGTAGTTGCGTTCCTGAAGAACAACGCGTTACGGAAAAATCGCGTTATCGTAATATGTGATGTGGGGTAAAGCACAGTCTGCGCTAACACGCGAGATGCGTACGCAGGCCGAACAAAGACCGAGGTGCGTGGGGAGCGTCTAGAAGCATCCAGCAGCATCCCGCCTCGTGCGATGCTATGCCGAGGCAGCCGTACAGCCGCTTGTTCCTACCCGCGCGGAGTAGCTCTGTTCACTCGGTCGCGTTATATCAACTTCGCATCCGCGTTATAAAAAAATGTGTTCCCAAATCCATTCATCGCGTTATATCCAATTGGCGCTACGAAAACAACACGCCATGTCATAGAACAGGCTGTACACCAATGGGCTTACTGCTCCTGCCCTCTGCTGCCCACATCGGGAACATAACCCATTCTAGAGCAGCAGCAGCACCTCGGCATGAATATATCAGCTTATTTATGATATAAATACCAGCGTGAAGATTCTCCGGAACACGAATACAATGTTAAACACCAACAGCGTCTTACGGAAACTGTTTGGGAAACACGTTTGAGGATTCGTGTTACTGTGCGTTCAATAAATATTGCGTTACGTCCTTTATCAATGTGTTCAGCATTGGAGCTGTGATCTTGTTTGCTGCTTCTGCTTGTGGCACAGTAGGGGGTACAGCTGGTGGTGGATCTGCCAGTCAACTGAGTCAGCCAACCCATGGCACCTGGGTCTGTCCCGCGACCTCCTCCTGTCAGCGAGCCTTCGACACTTCACGTGGCCTCAAAGTGCACCTGAACCTGGCACAGACGCCGTGGTGACGTCACGGCCACTTAGTGACAAATTGTGGTCGTTGTGGTTCATTTTAAGTGGATTGGGAGCGGTTGTGTAGCGGTTCGCTTCCCCGCCTACGGCTCGCCAACAGTGACGATTATCCGAACCGGTCCTGGGCTTCCCCCAGGTCTACGTAGCCTCATATGAGGAGCTGGTGCAGTGCGTCGATGTTGGTGGTCACGGTTGTGGTGGTTGCGATTGTGGTTGTGGGCGCTAATCCGCGGCCGTGCCACGCAGGGTTTCCGGACAACGGCGCGCAGTGGCGTTCCGCGTACGACACGGAGACGTTCGAGGCCGACCTGGAGCGCATCTACGAGGAGCTGAAGCCGCTCTACCTCAACCTGCACGCGTACGTGCGGCGCAAGCTGCACCAGCACTACGGGGAGAAGTTCGTCAACCTCAAGGGGCCCATCCCCGCTCACCTGCTCGGTGAGCGCCAACTTCATTATCGCCTTCGTCGTGGTTAACCGTCGTTGCGACTCGAAATGGCTCGGAACGCGCTGCCGACGCAGTGTTCAGGAGGAACCACGGACGTGGCGGAAGGCATCAGCCTAACAGCAATTGCCCAAGCTCTGTGGTCCTCTGTATATTGAAACGTTTGCAGCCAATTGGCGAGTGCTTTTCCGGTCGAGGAAAACGGTCGCAGTTTTTTTTTTTGTGCTCGAAACGCGATGCGTGGAACTGCACTTCAACATCGCTGGGTTTGAATGATTTTTTTTTCATTTTCTTTTGGCGACCAGGAAACATGTGGGCCCAGAGCTGGAACAACCTGAACAGCCTGGTCGCGCCCTTCCCGAACGCACCCTCGGTGGACGCCACGCCCGCCATGCAGGCGCAGGCAAGACTCGACGCACCGCGCCGCTCATTCGGGTCCAGCAGCGAATTGTCAAGCGGGATGCGCACGTCCGACGAGGCTGCGAAGCTTCGCTCGTTATCCAAGCGAGTCGCGGCGGCGCTCTTGTAGCGTGGCTGGCATGGGCACCGGCCCCACCCCACCCCCGCGCTCGAGAGCCACGCCGCCGGCCACAGCAGCAAGAATGACTGGCACAGCAGCTCCACGGCGCCCCAGCGAGGACTTGTCCGTCACTCGCAGCCAAAAGTTAAACTCCAACGGGCAGAGAGAAACACCTCCGGCCGGCCCCTTCGTCAATTGGCTGCTAGAACGAGACACTGCCGGCCCCGTGTGTGGGGGTTAAGCGATCGGACACCATCACACGCAGCCACCTACGAGAACCTGACGGTGCATCCTGGTCATTCGCTTTATTCAATGATGAGTAGATTTTGATTTAAAGCTTTCGTGACTGCAGGGATTCATATTCTTGGTTCTTTCGGTAAAGTCACGTAGAAGGGAAATATTAAAATAATAAAAATATTAAACAATAAAATTCTCACGACGTTTCGATTGCAACACAAGCAATCATCATCAGGTGTGAAAACCACAGCAAGAAAGTCTATTATTTTATTGTTTCCCTTCTACGTGACTTTACCGAAAGAACCAAGAATATAATGACGAGTAGATTCTCAAAAAGACAACAGGCCACTCGTGTAGCCTAACAGACTGTTGGGGCAGGTACACTGTTAGCGAACAGCTATTAAGGCCGACATGGCACGCGAGTATGTGTGGCGAACACCATGCCAGACCACCTTTGCCTCCCCATTGCTGATGTTTACACACTGCACCATGTGCTCATTTAAGGCTGAGTCGACCTAGGGGAGGCACAATAGCGGTTCAAACATTCGCCACTGTTAATTGGTCGTAAGCGGGAATCTAACTCGGGTGGCCGGGTTCGTAGTGCAGTGCGCTAACCACTACTCCCCACTAGATTCTCACACACGCACAACATTTGATGCCTGTCCCGCCGCTGTCACAATTGATTTTCAATCGACGACTCGGCACACTTTGTGTAAGGCCTACTTCGTGCATGCGGATGCAGAAATGGACAGCGACGATGATGTTCAACGTGTCGGATGTATTCTTCACGTCTCTGGGGATGATTCCAATGCCGCGAGAATTCTGGGACAAGTCCATGCTGGAGAAGCCCACGGACGGTCGCGAGGTCGTGTGTCACGCCTCCGCCTGGGACTTCTACAACCGCAAAGACTTCCGGTGAGCACGACACGGGCTCTCGCCGGCAGGACATCCACCAGTTTCCCCCCCAAGCTCTTGCCATCGCACAACAAGGGTAGTGGTGGGGGGGGGGGGTGCCGCGTGTCCCTTGTAGTTACCAGAATCATCCTCTTGTTATGGTCGCCGTCCAGGGAAATCTGTCAGTCTCCTCGGGACATTACAAGTCCCAGTCTTTGTCAATTGCCTAAATTAGCGTGCAGGTATTTGCAGCTAATATTACGAATCGTAATTGATTTTGGGCTTTTGCATCTCATTTCTAAATTTGGTGGTGGGAATTGTAATTGATTTTGGGCTTTTGCATCTCATTTCTAAATTTGGTGGTGGGAATTGTTCTCCAACTCGCCACCGGAGAGCGAGCTGAAAAAACAATGATTGGCGCGTCGTTACACGCTCGTCCGCGCAACGCTGTCAATTTACATCCAGATTTCTTGTACAGCAATTGCACAGCTACCTCGCATTTTACTTGTTTTGTTCATTCAATTGGAATGGTGTTTGTAGCAGGAGGCTTAAGGATAGGGAATTGCAGTTATTTGGCAATCATGTCATGTCAAAGCGAGATGCCGGGGAAGACAAAATAAATAGCAATGAAAGTGAGACAAGGTCAAAAGGACAAAGATCCCCCGCACACAGAGGGGGGCAACTACAGCCACCAAAGTCTAAGCTCCCAAACGTTTTGGGTTGGTGTTGGGACAGCCCCGAAGAGCCTCTCCCGGTGTCCCAAAGCATTTGTCGTCAAAACCCGGATTTTGTCTCGCCTTGAAAGATATCGCGTTCCCAATGTGCAGACCGAACGGAGCCTGGCACAGCACGAGGTCAGCAAAGCGGCCTTGGCCAGTGGCCCTTGTGGGCGCCGCTGGCCCAACAAAGGGTCACTGGAAATGCATAAGATGCAGCGATCCCTAGCCAATCCCAAAAGAACCGACGGTCAAATAAATTCACAGAGCGTTTAGCCTGGCTCCGCTTGTCCAAGCTGACACGAACCGTCCACACGGCACATAGGGAAGCGACTCAACTCAAGGGTTAATACATCAGGGTGTGTTCATCGGTTTACAATACAGAGGCAGTTGAATACCCGGAAGGGTTGCCGCTCTGCGATGCGTTTTCGGGTTGCACGGAGTGTCGTTTGGCACGATGTCCAACGTTCCGCTCCGCACGCCGGAAGCCTCTCCGGGGAACTGAATTCAGTTGCTGGCACAACCGGGAAAACAAAACCACAGAGTGCCGGTGGCTCTGTACGGCGCCACCGCGACACCACCTAATAGCGCTGGCTCCCCGCAGGATCAAGCAGTGCACGGTGGTGACGATGGACGACCTGGTGACGGTGCACCACGAGATGGGCCACGTGCAGTACTTCCTGCAGTACAAGGAGCAGCCGGTGCCGTTCCGCGACGGTGCCAATCCCGGATTCCACGAGGCCATCGGTGACGTCATGGCGCTGTCCGTGGCGACGCCAAAACACCTCAAGGAGATCGGGCTTTTGGAAACGGTGGAGGACAACTCGGGTGAGACGTTCCCTTATCTCCACCAAAGACAAAGATTCCCCCCATATAACCTTAACGAAGTGTTGCGGGCAAGTGCCTTTCGGCAAGCACCCCTGACGGTGGCCATGGCACCATGGTGTGGGTGGCCAACGCTACACCCGGCTGCCTTGGTCTCCCCAGTGGTGATGTTTACACACCACACCTGTTACTCATTCGAGGCCGAGTCGGTCTAGGGGAGGCCCAGGACCACTTCAGATAATTGTCACTGGTGTTGGCTGCGCGCGGGAATTGATCTCGCCGGGTTCGTGGTGCAGTGCGCGAACCACCACCGTGCACGAACCTGTGCTTGTACGTAACGTCACATACGGACATGTGCGTGTGTGAGATATCACTTCCATACACCTGTGACAACACACAGATACACTCGTTTATGCATAAACCCCCTTGAAACACGCACATCTGTACGGGTGTGCCATTAGCGACGTAACTTACGTGCTTGGCCCTGTAGCATTACACCACATGTACACGCACGAGTGATGACATTCGTTTGTGCGCGCTCGCAGAGAGCGACATCAACTTCCTGTTGAGCATGGCCCTGGACAAGATTGCCTTCCTGCCGTTTGGGTTCCTCATGGATCAGTGGCGCTGGAAGGTGTTCGACGGACGCATTCCCACCGAGGACTACAACAAAGAGTGGTGGAACCTCAGGTTTGAAACCATTTCCATGAGCCTAGGCATTAAAGGGCACCGCGGGGGGTGGGGGAGATGTCAACCACCTCACCTGCTATGGAGGAGGTGGTGAGTTTGATCCACCGACACCTGTATATTTAGAGTTTGTATGTTCTCCGCATGGTTGTGTGGATTTTCCTTAGGGGCCTCCGGTTTTTCCCCTCCACATTTAGAAATGTCTGAGTATTTGGCTGCTAGAAGTTTCCACATGAGCCATTTCATTTGGTTATCACTTGAGATCAAGTCGCTTCTGAAAAAAAAGTTGTATTATCTGTGGGCCTTACCTGGTAAAAAAAAATAAACAGTTTATCCATTTGGTGCTCTTCACTTCGCTTCCTCAATGATTGGTGGGATGATTTAGTCAGAGGGTCGGAATAATCTGCTTCCAGTTTAACGTTTTGCACATCCAAACTTGCCTCGCCCTTCGGAATACAGAACTTCATTCTTTCGTTCAAAAGGGCATAGCAAAAGTTGAAAACTCGTTTAAAGTTATTGGCGACAACGGGAGGCGACCTCCATGGAATGTGCGATGAGGGGGCTTGGCAAGCGTGTGGGGAACTGGCGAGATGAAGGGCTGGAGGTCGAATGGGAGGCAGGCGCGAGTACTGAAGACACTCAAGCAGTTCAAGTTGCAAGGGCAGCGCACGCAGCGTTATACAGAACGAGACGGAAACTCTCCATCCCTAAATTTGATATCCAGAGATTTGTATAGCTTAAACATCCTTCATAAACACATGTACATGACCGATCTTTTACACGGAAGTTAGAATACGCATTGTTTATGCAACCTGCGCATGTTTTAATTAAGATGTAAACGCACGTAGACCAGGGATCCCATTAAAACGCTTAAAAAAACACAAAGCAAAACCGAGCTCATGTTTGCGTTGTTCCAAACGCTGTTTTGTCCACAGGATGAAGTACCAGGGTTTGTGCCCTCCCGTGGCCAGGACGGAGGACGATTTTGATCCAGGATCAAAATTCCACATTCCAGCCAGCGTGCCCTATGACAGGTAATATGCGCGTCCGTCCCCCAGCTACATGCAAGAGTTCAACTATTTCAGCTTCCTGCAGGGGGGTGGGAGTACTTGTGTTGAACTGTTCGCACCGTACTTAGCCAACCAGCACTAAATCGGAGGTGCAGGGGAAGCACAAACTGAACACAAAAAGCATAATGCAGCGACAGTCTTGATTCTATGGTAACCCAACAGCCCCTCCGAGGAGGCACGGAGTTTGCGCGATGGTTTATTGCTCCTCGAGGGTGCTTCACTTAAAAAAAAAGGCACGTGATAGTTGTAAAACTATTCGCGTTTGCCATTTAAAAAAATGGGAAATTATTTCTTGAACTCACAAGCATATATAATTGGGTATCGTCAAATGTACAAAACTAAAATGTAGGAGACTTTAAAATTGTATCAGGTTGCTGAACAAGTGCCGTACTTAAAAACAAAAAGGCATTGAGCATCAAGCACTGCTTTAATTTATCCACACATCCCATACAAAGATCCCTAATATGGTTTGTATAACGGGGAAAGTGCCGTTAGAGCACCTACCAAGGCCTGCATGGTGCATTAGGGGAGTGTTGGTGTGGCCAATCACTGCCACCAGAGTTGGCCGTGACTGGAATACCCCCCCCACCTAACAAATATTACACTAGTTAGCAGCACTGCCTTTACTTAGAGAATCCAGAGCCAGGGGTTGTTAACGCACGATACTGCGGTAATGGCGATTCCAGTCCGTGGACTTTGCCATGCTTGGGGAGAATAGAGACCACCGTGCATGCACAACGGCTTCGTCAGTTCACTGCTGGATGAGGGCCTCCTCACTTCTGCATTGCTAAGCCGCACTTCAGCACACATGGTCCCCAAAGACATTGCTCCCATAACCCACTCTGCAACCCTTGCCACAAGATGTCGCTGCTGGCCATACAAAAGGAGGGTGGCGCACTCAGTAGCTAATCAATGGTCAATGTGCTCCCTCCGCCGACCAGGTATTTTGTGAGCTTCGTCATCCAATTCCAGTTCCAGGAAGCGTTATGCGCCGCTGCGGGCCAGAAAGGAGATCTGCACAAGTGTGACATCTACAAATCCAAAGACGCCGGAGATAAGCTTGCGTGAGTTGCAATGCGCAACGCACATTAAATCACCCTCTGGATCATGCTATTACGATTCACCCTGAACTTGCCCCATCATCAAAACTCTGAAAATAAGCAGGTTTGGGCCTGGATACTAAACTACCATTCACCAACTGGTTTTAGACTGTAGAGAGCAGTGTAGCCTTATCTTGTACAAACATCTACACTTCCATATGGGACCTTTCTTGGCAGTATAAAAATATAAACCTGTTTTACCCTCTGGCAATAAATGCCCTGAGAGTCATCGTCTTCGCGCCGCGTGCTTTTTGGCGTTCTCTGGTCCAACGCTTTGAGACGAGGTTCTAAAGAAATCCGTCTCTGGTGTGGACCAAATCGTTGAAAAATACAATGCATCTATTACCGGAGCATGCTTTTGTTTGTATGTCCACCACAAGTGTAGTTAATGCAGACAGGATTCCTTGCAAAAAAGGTTTCTATTTAGCGTTTGAACAGCAACACCTGTATTATTGCCAGAAAGGGTAAAACCTATTCTTACATCCATGCTTCCTGCCGTCAAACCTGATCAATATAAAGACCTCTTCCAGCAGCGGTAGATTGACAAAGGGGGCTATGAACGTGTGCATTTTCACATGCTTGGTGGCAATAAATACTGTTTCACCAACTGCGATCAACGCCACAAGGCTTGTATTAAAAAAGGCACAAATCGCCCTTCAGAGGGCCCAGGAGCCCCTAAAGCTATTCATGGCTGGGCATCCAACAGCTTTACCGTTACACCGCTTAAAAAAAAATCTTGGTACAGTAACAACGAATGTTGTTTTTGTTCACAGGAAGGTAATGCAGCTGGGATCCAGCCGGCGGTGGCAGGAAGCCATGGAGATGATCACAGGGCAACAGAACATGTCGGCCGCAGCACTCCTCAAGTACTTCAAGCCGCTCACCGACTGGCTTGTGAAAGAAAACCAGAAAAACGGAGAGGTGCTCGGCTGGCCCAACTACGAGTGGCGTCCCTGTAAGCAGCACATCCGCTCGAGTGACCACGATGTTATTTACCATTTTTATTTCACCAGGTAAGGCTCACTAATGCTACGTAGCTCTTTTGCAGAAGTGACCTGGCCCACAAATGATAGCTCAATGAAGTGGCTTATCACGCGGAAATGTGTAGCAGCCACACTCTTAAATTAATATTTTTTGGTTCTTTCGGGAAAGTCACGCAAGTATAAAATAAAAAAATCACGACGTTTAGATTGCAACACAAGCAATCATCATCAGGTGGGAAAATCACAGCAAGAATGTTTTTTTTTACTGAAGTGGGAGAGGGATGCCGTGGTAAGAGGTTATTTAGGTAAGGGAGGAGGGGAGCGCTGGGTTTCTTAGCATTTTTAAGGATGGAGAGGGACGTGAAGCTGGACGGGGGGAATTGGGCAGGGCTGGAAGTGGGAGGCCGAGAGCTGGGGGGAAAAAAGGGCAAATATGATAGAAAGCGGTTAGGGTTTTACATAGTTAATATCCTTAGAATGTTATTGGTTCTTTTGGTAAAGTCACGTAGAAGGTAAACAAAATAATACAATTCTCACGACGTTTCGACTGCATCATCAGGTGTGAAAACCACAACAAAAACATTTGAAGTGGCGTTTTTGTTAACGTTAGCACCACGGAGAGCGATTTGGCAGTTATTCAGATGGATGAGTCCATCTATGTTCGGAAAAGAGGGAGACGAAAATAATGGATGTGGTCTGAAAGCCACCCTAAGCGTGAACAATCAATTAAGACCCGCAATACTTAAAATCAAATCCTTTCAATTATTGCTAAACCAGAATCCATCTTCTAGGTTGATAGTGTCTGTTTGTACATGTAGATGGCTTCATGAACAAACCTTTGATAGTAGCCAGATGGCTTGCAGAGAACCTTGGTCTCGGAAAAACACAATGTTAGCCCACAGCGTTATAACAATGGTCAGCTACAGCCAAGGTGTTGGTCCTACCATGTTTTAGGTCTGCTTTGTGTTCAGACACGGTCCGAGACATGTGGTTTCGTTTCACCAATGTAACTACTACCAGAGGCAACTTAGTTTGTAGACGCCAGGATATTGCATATCCGGAATCACATCTTTTACAGCTGGGATTAGATCACGGATTTTATGTACTGTATTCAATCGGACCTGGATCGTGTTTATTTAAGATTCTGGAGATCTTTTTGGAAACACCTGCTATGTATGGTAAAATTCTGGTTTTTAATGTCTCCTTATTCATATAATCTGGGTGGTCTGGCAGCAGAGTTTTAGGGAGAGCCGTTTAGCTGGTTCTATGCAAGAAGTCGAACTGGTAATGATATTGTTGTTTTGTAGCCAGGTGGTTAGTCGGATCTTTGTTGATTTTGGTGTAACTGCCATCATGAAGGTCCTGGATTTTGTTGCATGTGGTTTGATCCATGATGACAGTAGCATTGGCCTTGTCGGCCGAGAGGACGACTATGGCATCTTTTTAAATTTTGCGAGTTCAGAACGCTCATCTTTGCTGATGTTACTAATGGGTTTATTAGCATTTTTAAGGATGGTGGCAATTTCAGATCTAGCAATGTCTGTCGTGATGTGTCCCAAGCCTTTGAGGGCTACGTCGACCTGGGCGATTATATCATCCACCGGGATACGTTTAGGGGCGACTACAAAATTCAACCCTTTAGCTAGTACCGATTTTAGGCTGTCGGGAATTAAAATGCTACTCTTAACATCCAAATTAACGTGTGGCTCTGGCTTAACAGGTTGAATTTAGCCATCAAGTTAACTTTACATTTGGTTGACATTGAATTAGAGGACCGTCATGTTATCTACATGGTCCCAATCAGAAGTGGCCATTCTGTTAATTTTAAGTGTGATTGCAACTCTTAAATTAGTGTTTATCAAATGGAGGGGAAAAACTGGATCTGGGAGAAGAAAAAGCCAGAAGCACGAAAGGAACATGCACTCCAATCTAGGCCTCAGGGTTGGGATTGAACCCTCAACCTCCCATATATACCGGGCGAGGTAGTTAACATCGCCACACCCGTCTTGGTGAAAGGCGTGGCGCAAATCGAAGCAGCCGCCATGCAGCAAGTTGACGTGTTCAGTGGACTAGAACCTAAGACACACGTTGGCTAACTATTCAAAGATTAATTAAAAGTTGTGTAATCAACTACCAATGTAATTTACGTGTCCAGCTAGTACATGGTTTCCAGATATGAACGACTTTGCGCGAGTCAAACCCCATCTGGTCTAACGACTGTCAGGAGGGTTCCGCCAAGTTCTCGGTGCAAGCTGGCCATGGATTCAACTCGATGGTAATTGTTAAGTTTGGAAAATGTTTGACCACGAGACGCCACAAATGGTCTACCTCTTGCAAATGGTCACAACCTTTAAAAACGTCCACTATGAAGCAGACTGTAAATAATTACGGTTAGACGCTTTTAGTTTGTACTAATCAGGGTGGCTATTCCACCCTTAAATGGTGTGCAACCGAGCAGCAAACAAACTGCCGTGTGAGAGCCGTCGCGGACCAGAGAGTAAGCAGGGGGGGCACCTCAAGCGCCGTAATCCCTTTCCTTGTTCAGATGCCGGCGGCACCGTAGAGCCGCCAGAAGTTCGCGTGGACTTCTTGGGCCTGGACCTGAGCCAGGGAGAGGCGACGGCGGGGCAGATCGTGCTGTTGGTGCTCGCGCTCGTATTCCTCGTCGGCCTCATTGCCCTGGCAATACTCTACTTCCGCAAGCCCAAAAACAAGACCAAATCTCATATGTAGTGCAGGTCTTCTTACCTCTTGCTTTAAGATCTAAATTTGGGGGAAATTCGAATTCTAGGCCTTATGGAAGACTCACGATTTACAACATCCACTGCCATCCTTTACAAAGTCGTACTGCCAGGTTTCACGTTAACATAGCAATTTGGTAAACTGTAGAAAGCACATAGACTCCATTAAAAGTATACAATGAGATGAACAAGCCATTTAAATGCCATGCCAACTTACAATCCATTTAAAAATCTAACATTAAATAAACACCACTCCCTTTTGTTTAACTTGGCACTGTTCATTGGACCCAAAGACTACATTGGACTTCAGCGGCTGCAAACAAACCATCATAAACGAGAGCAACAGAACATACCGGGAAACAGTTTTACCATGTTCTAAGTAATTACTTTAAGGTTGGCAACTTCTCTTCATAGTTTGTGGGAGCATTTAAAAAATCAAGATGTAAATAAATTTTATAATACATCCTTAAAAATGCGGTGGTCAATGTTGTATTACCGGTGTTTGATTGTGCGTCGCTAAACTTGTCACCACCTGACAGCCAATTCCTAAGACTTGTCACGTAAACAAACATGCCAATTCGTTACTAGTATAGCACACCCACGTGGTTGTGTTAGAGTAATCCCACAACATAATTCCAGAGCTGTACGACGTTTCGCCCGTAATTAAAAACTTGCATCAACTCTGGCTGCCTGATGGTTGTAATTTACTGGAAAAATATCATACCGTGAATTGTAAATATTGTGGGTTTACTCTAGCATCGGTGGTGCTGTGTGAGTAACGAATTGGCACGTTTTGTTTACACAACCTTAAAAATTGGCTGTGCCCAGGGGTTTAATGACATTCATATTTATGTCATCCAAACCCAAAAATAGATCATGAATATTGGTCACGAAAGCCTACATGTTAAGCGTTTAACTTGCAAACAAACTGCAAGACCACAGGTGGGGGGGGGGGGCACAACTCAGTACGTCGTAAAATCCGTGGCCAAGTGAACAATCCAAACCAGATGTTTCGCATCGACTTTTTATTTTGCAAGACAAACAATGCACACCTTGTGTAAAGATTGTATCCATATTTTCTTAAAAAGAAGAATCTGGAAATACAAGGGGATTAGGGGTTGCCTGCAAGTTGCTCTTCCAAACAGGAAGAGCAAGCGGACACGGAACTGGGCTCCCGCTTCAGACGACTTCCGTGGAGTCCTGCAACGAGACCACAGGACATAAATCAACGCTAGAGTCGTGCGTGCGCGATTCAATAAGCAGACGGCCAACGACGCACGATGCCCATGCAGCTTCAGACCTGGCCTTGTGCATTGGTGCTCGGGTCACCGAGGCTCTCACTGCGCCCATCTCCAATGAGTGACATCTCCTGTCCAGAGGTCTCCTTGGGCTCTGCGGTAAACGTGACCTCTGCTTGCTCGGGCGTGTGCCTGTGCAGACCGCACGCGACCGGTTAAAAAATCTCCATCAGAACTCGCACATGTCCATAAAATGTGTCACATTTTACCCTTGCAACAAGGCAGGAGTAAAAAGAGCCCGTCCACAGCCACCGGGTTAATGAAGCTGTAAAGGGGCGTTGCGCGAGCGGTTGAAGCGAGGTCAGACCCGAGCTGCAAACCTTTCTAGCCTCCTTCTCCGACGCCGCCTGCGGATCACGACCACCACCACCATGGCCAAGACAAGGACGCCGATGACCGTCGCGCAGCCAAGGGCCGCCTTCACGCCAATCGCCTGCACCACGAAGAACTGGCAGTGTGGCCCACGGTAGCCCCAGCGGCAGGTGCACGTGGGCAGCCCGTCGTCTTCCTCCTCGCACGAGCCGCGGCCGCTGCAGTAGTCCTCCGAGCAGGAAGGCATCACGAAAGGAGTCTCGACACCGGTAGTCTTCCCGCTGCTAGAGGGCACCAGCGTGCTGGGCTGTGGTGCCTCCATGCTTAATGCTGGAGTTGCTTTGGCGGTGGTTGTCAATGGAAGTTTGTCGTCATCGAGATCAGTGGGGCCGGCGGCATCGGCCAACGTGTTTGACGATTCCAACGCCGCTTCAAATGCTCTCGACTGTGAAGTCGTTGCCTCTGCTGGAGAGTTCACGTCTGACAAAATGCACAGTGTAGGATCAATCTAAAAATGCATACAAATTTTAGACTAGTGGTACTATTACTGGAACGGTTACACGATTTGGAGTCCATTGCTTGTAGCCGTTCATAATCCGAGAGTACAGCAAGGAGAAACGAATGTGGTGAAAGTACTCTCGTGCACTGGCTGAAAACGTGGTAATTAAGGTTGCACAGGGGCACGGCTGTAAGTACTCCAATAAACCGTTCCCAATGATCGAGTCACGAGTGGTGACGAAGCTTTTGACAAGCAATCTCATCGGTGATCGATTAGGATTGCCACCCAAATGATCGAATATATTGCAATTTCATATTGGGCAGCATGGGAACGCTTATTCCATACATTTCGTAACAAAAACCAATTCCTTTACAACCAAGGCAATTTAGACTTTTTAAAAACACAAGTATTTGGCCATCCCTAGGACCAAACAATGCACCTGGTCACATCTTTGAAACAGAGCATGGTTAATTAGGCATTTAAAAAATTACAAGCAGCTATAAACAGCACTTTGCTTTGGCAAGTGACCGTGCATTAATAACTTATTGCTAGCAGCATAATAAACTACCACCAGCAGTGGCCAGTCAGAAGCAAAGTCCAAAACCTCCACAAACCCCTGCGTGGCAAAGCGCCGCGTTCCCACCACGCGCATTCGCCCGACCTCGCTCGCAGCCCTCCTCGTCCGAGCCGTCGTCGCAGTCGCGCACCGAGTCGCACCACAGCAGCGCCGGCACGCACCCGCCGTCCCCGCAGCGTCGCCGCTCGGGCCTCTCGCAGCGGCTCGGAGGCACACACGCCGCAGAGCCGCTCGTCGTCCGCTCCACGGCCAGGGCCGGCGGGCAGGCGCACACCACCTCGCCGTGCCGTCTCACCAGGCACGTGTGCTCGCAGCGGATGTGCCGGCAAGCGAGTCCGTCTGCGCACATCGTGCGGAGGCGATGTAGTTAGGTGGTGGATTCCACACGGCTCCCATCCCCTTATCCCCGAGAACAACATTTGTATTGACGCCAGGAGACGGGGGCTCCCCAAACCTGCGGGGTGCGGCGTGCGTGATGCGGCCACGTCCATCACGCGCTGCCGCAGCTGGACCCACGGCCGGTCCCCGCCTTCACGCCACAACTCGCTCGACCCTAAAAAAAAAACCCCGCACGGAAGCATTCGCCACGAAAGAAAAGCTTCGTGACAAAATCGCATGCGCTTGTGCATCGTGGTTTACACTGGCAAGCGTTGCTATTGCGGGATACAGCGACTACCTGTTCAGTTGTCAAACTGCTCTTCTGGTAAAACATGCTGTCATACAGTACAAAAACTAGACTGCAATTCTCGATTTTTCCACAGCACACCCGAGGTAAGCCAGCACAGGGCTCTCATGAGTAGGGCTGGTGTCCACTCGCTAGTCTCCCATGTTAATCCCTTTCCGATGAGGTACGTACACATCATCCTAACGGAAACAGAAGACAAACTCAAATAAACTACCAGTACCGAGGCTCCAAGAACGATGCAGCACAGTTTGGCGTTAGCTATCGAAGTGCAGTCAGGTTCGCTTCCAGTTCTCTGCAGCGAGGTGTCTTTAAAAACGGTGCTTGGTTTGGAAATAAAATAAACGCTGAACCGCTTGCACGTTTAAAGGTTTAGCGGTGAATGGGACCTACCCTGCCACTTGCAGTCATCTCATAAAGGGAATGGGTTAAGCCAGAAAACAAGTCAAAGGCCGGCCTCCGGGCATCCATATCTGAGCAAAGCAGGGCTAATAATTGGCATGCAATGTCAGTGGCTCGGCGTTTGTAGTGGGAAAATAAACGCTGCACCCCCCCCCACGCCAGTCTGGCTCCGTTGTAAGTGGCACAAGTCATATTGCACGCATTCTACATCCAGCAGCGGTTTATTGCTGTGGATGCTGCTCACGCCACCGTTCACTTACGGTTGTTATTCACCACCCAAAAGAGGGCACCGTCCACCACAGCGAGGCCCGCAATGCGGGGGAGCCCACGATGGAGGATCTTGTGATCGCTGCCATCCAGCTTTATCGACTGGATCATTCCCAGCCCTGTGGAGCACAAAACGCAGAGTCGCTCCACGGCACGAACACTTAACTTCTATCTCATGCTGAATGTGCACATCTCATCAGAAGCTGCTCGGAAATGTGGCTACCAAAAAGTGTATGGGAGACCACCTGGGAAAAAGTAAGATGCTGTGCTTGGGATGCAAGTTGGCATCACACATACCATATTTTTACAGAATTTATGCAAGGTGAATTATTAGCGTCTAAAATGGAACCACATCGAGACCCTACAGAGTGTGGTCATGTTTTGGGAGGCAGTTATCAGCAGAGGAAGAGAGATCGAGTAAACAGGCCTAGCTATTCTTTCCTAAAAAGGACTTGATTACGTACTCGACACATGCACGGCGTTTGGAACATACAAGTCGAAGTAATGGCCTCGCCTTCATCAGCCCACAGGAGGAGGGACTGGTTGGCATCCATGACCAGGCTGTCCGGACGAGCCACCCCCTCGAAAGAAATGAGGACCCTTCGCTCTGTGCCGTCCATGCGGGAGCACTCGATCCACGCTCCACCGCCGCCCGCTCCCGCCTGGCCCCAGTCGGACAGGCACATGGTGCCGCTGCTCGGGTCGAGCGCCAGAGAGGCAGGCCACTGCAGGCTGCCGGAGAGCACCACAACGGCGCGCGCCGACAGCGCGTCGAGGCGCGTCGCCTCGACGGTGGGGCGGTCCGCGCTCAGCCAGTAGATGTTCTCCCCGGACCAGTCCACGGCCACGTCGCGCACACCTTGCACTGCACGGGATGCAGCGCACACGGGGAAGACGTTCGTGGCGGTTTGGCGCAGCAGCGTGGGGGTTTTGGCCAAGCAGAGTAGGAGAGACATCTTGGGAAAAAGGCGGAGAGGCTGAATTTTTGTTTTCGTGCGGTTTAAAATCAGGTCTGACAACGATGCACTACCCAGCCAGATGGTGTTTGTTTGACCAGGAAAGGATCATTTAAAAAAATTGGGATCTGGATCACCAAAACGGATGAAACGCAATAATTGAGCAAAGCAGAAAACCACCATTAGTGGAAACTGATAAATATGCACAAAAATCAAGTTAGTAAGTGGCCAAAACCTAGCCACTCCCTAATTAAGTCGACATTTAAATACATTAGAGCGATTGGTGCACGAGCTTAAACGCGCAACAAGGCCACTTGTCAAATACAAGCGGGTGTAGGATGTGGGGGAGGGGCGGCCCCTCCCATCTTCAGCGTTACCCATCACAAGAAATTGAAGGGTAGAGTCGTTGCCGCTGCTATGATCGAACGGCACCACACGCGCCCGTCCAGGCGAGGCGGCGTCTTCCAAGGCGTAGAAGAGCTTGCGGTCGGCGTGAGAGTAGGCGACGTGCGTCAGCCTGTTCAGATCATGCCCCATGCCGAGTCGTTGCATGTGTGGACTCTTAGTCCCGCGATCTTCCCGCGACTCTACAAACACCTGGGAATGCGGAGTGAGTGGGGGGGCAGCTCCAAAAACGAGTTTGTGGCGATAGCTAATTGAAACAATGGAGTTATTACTCTCGATTTTCATGTTCCTGAACCAGCGGTATTTACAGACACGCACGCAGGTTTAACCATTGTGTTAGTTGCGTCGCAACAATTCAAAAGGTCTCTTCAAAAGTCACGATTCGAATGTTCGTCATGCTTCTACGGTTTTGGTCAAACGAGCGCATATACCACGTGTGCACATAGCCAACAGGTCACATGGACAACGGAACTCCTCGCCGGCAAGTTGTAACCGTCGCTCTTTCCGATTTGCAGCAGCAACGTTCCCACCCCGACACTCGAGCCGCAAAAGCACTCGCCTGTGTGACGGCGGTGGGCGAGACGAGCAGGACGAAGGGGAGCGCCCCCGTGGGCTCGCACGTGCAGCCGTCGCTGCCCAGCCGCGTGCTTGGGGGACAGGCGCAGGCGGCGGTGGCGCCGCCCGCGCCCAACACGCAGCGGTGAGAGCAGCAGGCAGAGGCGCACGGGTTGGGGTGTTCTGGCTGTAGCAGCGGGTGCAACACCTGTGAAACAGAGACGGTGTCACGAGGGCAAAAGGAACAATAACGTGTCTACTAGATCAGCATTGCACGTCAACGCGCCTGCATGTGGTCAGTGTTAGAGGACCAAATACAAAATTACTCCCTCCCCCCCCCCCCCCCCCCCCCCTCCAGTGAAGGGCCCTTCTGCCAGCAATTGTGGGGCTGGACTGTTTAAGTGCCTTTTTGAAGAAGCCATTCGACACTCGGCATTGCAAGGGATTTAAAACAATTGGCCAACATTTTAACTTCGAGAACTTTGCTACGGTTTTACAATTTTAAAATCTTAGTTTAAAGGTTTAGCCACTGGTGAATGGACCGAGACTATCAGGTCCCGATTCCGGACGAAACTTCAATACGCTGGTCCGTATGCAATAGTCAAGGGAAGGATTAACATTGAAGGACACCAGTAGCGTAGTGGCTTTTGCTGCATTGCCCACGTAGCCCCACCACCTGTTCAGCAAGGCCAGCACTGAAGCTAGGCTCAACCCAGCTCATCTTCCAAGAGCCGAGATTGATGCAGGGCAAGGGATAGCCATAAGCTATTGACAATGGACCAATAAAACCCACCGAAGTGAACGAAACGCAAGAGCAAAAAGGAATTCAATGGACCCTGAGCGCTTGGATGTTGTGCTCGTGGCTGAAGAGGGTCGCACGGCCACGGCCCGTGAGCTTGTTGGCCTTCTCCAGCTTCCCAGCGCCGAGGCTTGACCAGTAGAGCTCATCCTCGAACAGGGCCAGCGAGAAGGGGTTGTGCACGTCAGCTGTCGCCACTACCTGCATGGCAGGGTGGGTAGACAATGAGTCGCGGTTGCTGGACCCCTAGGACTCAGGTGGTGGCTCCATATTCATCTCGTGCCATACACATCAGGTGTTGTTCTTCCGAGATGAGTCATTTTTCCCTTGCACAGATGTGGCATAAAGTACTTAAGGCTGCCTACTTTGATAATCTGGTCAAACCAATGTATACCTTTTTTGCACCACCGTACTTGGCAAAGCAGGGGGAAGGACAAATCAAACAAAAAGCAGTTCTAATTAAATTACTTTTCAATCTACAAGCCTACAAATAGTTTCCATCCAATATCTTAGAGCATTTAACAACGTGTATTTTTGTAGCTTATAATGCATGTTTTTAGATCCGATTTTGGATGCCATTGTTTAAAATGACAATTCAATTCTTATTTAAGGCTGCAGCGCTATCGCCAAACGCGTTTATTTTACATACAGATCGTCCGAAGCACACGCGCAAATCGCGATGCAGATCGAGGTCAAGCAAAAGGCGATAGCGCCAGCCACGGTTTTGGCACGGCGCGTCCACCCCGCCCACGCTCGGCGCACCATGCGGCGCGAGCCGTCCAGGTTGCAGCACTCGATGCTGTCGAGCTTGGCGTCGATCCAGTAGAGGCGGCGGGACGGGAGGTCGAGCGCCAGCGCGTTGGGCCAGCCGAGCCCATCAGCCAGCAGCACCTTGCGGCCGGCCCCATCCATGCCCGCGCGCGAGATGCACGGCGACTCCCCCCACTCGCTCCAGTACATGAGTCTGCAGTCACAGACCGCGTGCACCGCATCACAACGCTAGGGACGGTCACCAGACTCCGTGATGGAGTTAAGTTAGATGCACAAGCACCGTGAATAATTGCACACCTAATTGTAAATTAATTTATAACCGTTGCTTTGAGTTTGTCGATTCCACCCCCCTCCGCACCCCTGAATAGCATGGTGGACTACGTCCGGTGAGAGAGAAGTTTATACACGTGAGAAACTGCAGAGCTTGGTTGTAGGGGGAGGGATTTGGCATCTTGCTCACTTGTCTGTGGGTTAGCACGCCTTTGAGAGCACTTAACGGGCAGCACATGACGTGACATTATTATTATTACTACGGTCAAGTCCTTTTGGCCAATGTACCCCCAACTCCCGTTGAATGTTTGACAACAGGCCGTTGTGTGCAGTCATTTCTGGCCAGTGGCCCAGCAGCCTGGAGCGAGAACCATGCCAGCAAACCAACGGGAGCTGCATGTGGACGCGTGCAGGTGCCACTTGCCCGTCGGTCGCCTGCAGCACCAGCGACTGAGGGTCGTCCACGTCGGCACCCACGATCACCACGCGGGCCGCCACCTCGTTTTCGGTCTGGGCCTCCAGCGGAGCTGCCATGATGCAGTTGGACTCCGAATCCATCCAATAAATGTTCCGAGCGACCCAGTCCACGGCAATGGCTTCGGCGGCGATACCTGGCATGGCGGTTTAGGCAAAGCGACGTTTGGCGAGATCTGGTGTAATACTTGCCAGAGGGAGGCAAGTGGCAGTACAGAAAATTAAAATCTGTGGGCCCTCGAGTATTAAGCCACATCATTACACCAACGCTCCTAAGAGCGACCAGATTTTGGCCAAATATCCCAATATGCAGGACTGATAAAAATAATGTACAGTGAAGATGTCCTAGGTTGCAGGCACAGTCCACTCCTGGAGGGCCTCCCTTGTGCCGCGTGGGTCATGGGGGCTGTGCATTCGACGATGCTTCACCATGCTGGTGAGTGCGTGGACGGCAGGCTGCAGGGGCGTTTGGAGCACGGTATGAAAGTGGATGTTGCACAACTGCACTGCTGATGGTGCATCCCTTGCAGCAGCCTCTATCACAAACCATCAGCTTCCCAGTTCGAGGAGTGCCGGTGGCGAGATGTTACCTACCTCGCCTGGAATACACGAGAGGTGGCTGCTATAAATTTTTAGATAAGCAACTTTGGAGTTCACTTGTGGCCAGGTTACTTCTAAAGAACTATATAGCTCAGTGGCCCTTACTTGGTAAATTAATTAGATCCGACAATCCAAGCAATTCAGTCGAAGGTTTGAGTAAATGGGCACGTGACAATTCACACGAGGGACTTTGCAGATCTATCCGAACGCACTTTGGTATAATTTTACCTGTGTACAACGTTCCATTCTCGGTTCCGTTGACGAGCGCCCACAAGATGCGCTTGCCCTGCCACTCGTACCAGTACAGCCTGCCGCTCGGGCGGTCAAAATCCAGCGACACCACCGATAGAGCCAGCCCCACGAGCACCACGTGGTCGCCGGTCGTCAAGCCGACAGCCGTCACGACGGCCAGGGACGCGTACACCAGCATGGCCTCGGGCTCTGGGTGGCGTGGGGATGTCAGGACATGCACCAGGAAGTAAATGGCAGGTGCACGCAGGCGACTAGTGACTGCTGATCGCATCAGACTGCTTGTTGGGAGCCTTAAGACTCTGCATCACCATGCAATTACTAAGTGACCAGTTATGGGAACACTAGGAATATGAATTCCCCCCCCCCACTCATCGGTGGTATGGCCACGTTAGGAGAGCAAGAGTCCATTACTTTACAGCTCACCATGTTTTCAAAATTTACATTTCACAACAGCTGTAGATATCTGTCGTAGCCACACTAGGGGGCAGCATTCCCCCCATCCATCTTCGGGTAAGACATCGTCACCACATGACAATTTTTTTATATTCACAGCTGGAATCTGAGAACTCCAGTCAAACCCAGCCTCTCGCAACCAAAACACCCAGCCCACCCCTCCACAGGGGGCAGCTGGTGGGAGTGGGAAGTTGTACAACTGTAAAAATGTGCCGAGGGGGAATATGCCAAAACACAAGCGCATGCTTTGCAGCCACACTTGCTCTTCAGCATAACCTCTAAATCCATGACCCCACCGACCCACAGATACAAGTTCACGCTCCCGGGGGAGGCGCACGCACCTGTAGCCTTGCACGTGCCATTGGGCGCCAGCACGTATCCGTCGCTGCATGCACAGCTGAAGTTGCCCTCGGTGTTGAGGCAGCGCTGGGCGCAGGGCGGCACGGCCAGATCCACGCACTCATCCCGGTCCACACAGCTCCGCCCACTCTCCCCGAGCTTGAACCCACCTGGGCAAACGCACACCTGCACACCACGAGCGGCACAGATGGGCGCGCAAAGGTCTGGATCCATTAGGGCGATTGCCTAAACGTCTCGGCAACACCTTGCATTAAAGTGCACCATCTGAACCATTCAATTTGGCCAACTGCAGTCTATCCAAGGGGCATCTTCAGTGCCAGCCATCCCTGATACACAGCTCCAATGATGCGAGGGTCCCGTCAAGTAGTTTATTAGCTTTTCAAGTTTGTATTCTTATTTGTGCGCATCTATACTGCATTGTTTTGAAGGCTGCGCTTGGTCTCCAATTGCGTGCCAAAAAAACTATCGCAAACGCCCATTTGTTGTTCCGACGCTTTTGGAGATGCATCGCATCATGGGAAGGACAGCCGAAGTAAAAATTAAGGAGCGAAGAAAGCTGCATTTCCTAGGAGTAGCAGCACAACACCAGGGGCCTTTGACAGAACGCGGCATACGGGAAGGGTCCGAGAGGAGCGTGGGAGTCGTGCGGTGCCGGAGTACTCACAGGGCCCACGGGGGTGGCGTGGCACCGGTGCGAGCAGCGGAGTTCCCCGCACGCCTCGGCCGCCACGCCGCACCGCTCGCCTTCGTCGGAGCCATCGCCGCAGTCGTCCTCCCCGTTGCAGACGGAAGCCCAGGCAGCGCAGCCGCCGTCCGCACACGGGAACTCTGATAGCCGGCACCAATCGGGGCCCAATCCCACAGAAGCATCTGGGTGGAGGGGGGGGGATCCCGGACAGCACCACACAACCGGTAGCTCTTGGAAGGTTTCAAAGGTGGCTTAGGACGGTGGGGGGGGGGGGGGGGACAGGGCCCATCACGGCCGGTACAGTGGAGCGGTTGGAGTCCACGATGCCCATGCACGTCACCCAGCTACCCCTTTCAACGCACATCGTTCGTGTTCTCGTCCTTGGCATTGTGCACAGCGCCTTTATCAAGTCGCTGCCGAGGTTCTCGGTGCCGTACACATCGTAGGGGTCCTCATGGCTTGCTCGTCGGTCAAGGGATCATAGAAGTGCACAATTATTTTTCTGTACCACCCGCCAATCGTGTTACCGACTCGCAGCTGCACGAACGCCCACGGCGATCACCCAATCCAATCATTATCCAGGCTCAAGCCTACGTGCCTGAAGCCATGACAAAATCGGCCAGCATTCCAAGACAAATGCTCAAAGCCTCTTTGCCATCAGCGCTGGCACAGGTTCACGGAGGACCACAATTATGATGGCATACGAGAGGGGGGTGTGCGATGGTTCACGTGTAGACCCACAAGGCGCGGCTCCTCACCACACGCACGCTCGTCGCTGTGGTCAGGGCAGTCCGCCTCCCCATCGCACCTCCAGGACAGCGGCACGCACCGTTTGCGGTTCTCACACAGCCACTCCGTGGCACGACATGTTCGCCACACGTCCACGCACTCCTGCTCGCCACGACATTAACAATGTAAAAAACATTCTTAGACAGTGGTATTGGGGACAAACTAGAGGAAAGTCAAAGCAGAGGAAGGAATTTAGACACCAATGTGTATAAAACAGATCCCCCCCAGCATAGGCTTAACAGACTTGGGGCAACTGCTGTTAGCGAGCACCTATGGAGGCCGGAACGGCAGTGGGTAGCCAGCACCATGCCCAGCCACCATTGAGCAATGTTTTTTCACCGCACTAGGTACTCAATGGAGGCCGAGTCGACCTAGGGGAGGCCCAGGACATGTTCAGACAATTGCTATTTGTTGGGCATGAGCGAGAATCTAACGAGAGTCGCCGGGTCCGTAGCACAGCTCGCTAACCGCTACCCATAGACACAAACACACGGGGTTAGAATAAAAGTTGCGGGCACCACTTTATAAACAGTTACGCGGGTGGTGCTGGCACATGGATTGGTGGTGGTGCGTTAGATGTTACCAAAACGTCGACTGCAGTTGGATAGGAGGAAAAGGGGGGCGTTCAACGTGATGAGAGGTGGGGGGGGGGGGGGTCCGAGAATGCCCCTGCATTGACACCAGGCACAGGTTTGGGGCAAGTCATAAATCCTGACAACCGATAGGAGTCGTTTTTAGGGCGGTACAGTGGTCAAAACTTGCCTCCTCGTCACTTGCGTCAGCGCAGTCGGTCCTGCCGTCACACCACGAGGCCAGGGACACGCAGGCGGGGCCCGTCCCACCGCACGGACGCTCCCCGTGGCCGCACCCCTTAGGGACCGGGGTCAGCATCGCGGGCGGGCAGTCGCTCTCGTCGGACGCGTCTCGACAGTGATGCTCCCCGTCGCAGCGCTGGATCTCGGGCACGCACTCCCCGCTGGAGCACGCGAAGTCCGCCACGCCACACCGGCCGCGCGAGACAGCGTGGTCCCCACTGGGGCCCAGCGAGGTCCCTGGGTCCCCTGTACGGATGGGCACACGCACCCAGTCATTACCCCGGATCAGAAGCGCCTCAAGCTACAAAGTTCATTCGCTCGATACATCGAATGGCTCCACAGGCTACCTGCCATGAGCTCACGGGCCAACGCAAATAGCTCTTCAAATCCACTTGCATCCCAGATGCCTCAGTTATTCCATGTTAATTCTCTAGGATCTATGTCGGCTCATCATATTAGTCATCTTGTTTTACGTCTACACATCCTTTAGGGAGCAACACCTTGTTGCTCCACTACCAACCACGTATCTTCAGCTTTCCCCTGATCGTCTGGTATGCAAGGAGGTCGTGGGTTCGATCCCCCCGACATCTATATTTTTAAGAGTGCATGTTCTCTCCAAATGCGTTCAAGAATATTTCGGCCGCTGGAAATTTCTTCACAAGCCACTTCGTTGAGCTATTCTGCGATGGCCGGGTTGCATCCGAAACCGAGCTCCACAGCACTCGGTGTGCTTTAACCGGTGAAATAAAATAAAGTGTTCAGGGTTAGTCGGCCAGAAAGAATCCCATGTGGTGCATTTGTAAAAAAAAAAAGCGCAGCTCCCGTTGGCTGCCGACAACACCGCGCGTCTCCGCGTCGCATTCACCGCAGGCGGCCCCCTCGTCCGCCCCGTCCCGGCAGTCGACGACGCCGTTGCAGAGCCCTTCCTGCGGCACGCACGTCTCTCCGTCGTCGCACCGCAGCTCGCAGCGACCCTCGGCGTCATCGCGGGCGCCGCAGCCGCGTTCGTCAGAGCCGTCGCCGCAATGCGGGCTGCCGTCACAGCGCCTTCGCGCGGCCACGCACTCGTCCCCGGATGCGCAGCGGAACAGCGCGGTATCTGCGAGGGGTGAAGAGGCGATGGAGCACAACCAGGGCGAGGCGTGATCGGAGTGCGTCCGTGCGAGGCGTCGAGCGCTCTGCGATGTCACACACGGCACCGGGATGGCAGGATAAAGGAGTCGTACAATTCCCTTCCAAATGTTCAACCATCAAGGTCTTATGGAGCCATCACCGCTTTAGCACATTTGCCCCCACATTAATTTAATGCGGGGATTCTTCTGCCACATTGACGCGATTATTTTAATATCTTAGGACCGGGTATAGCCGAAAAACACGTCCAGTAATTCGGGGGGGGGGGGGGGGGATTGACAATAGGTGGTACTCAAATTCGTCGAAGTGTACAACCATGCAGGTAGTTCCCGATGAACACGATAGATGCGGTCTTGAAAATCTTCGTGCAAGGTGAAAGCATGTTACGCTAACGATAATTTACCATACCGTAAATAAAGGGCCGTTGCGTTCCATGCCGCCAACTAGTCAGATGTATGATCACGCGCTTAGAACTATTTAGGCCGAGTTATTCATGCACATAGCTTATGCATGAATAACATTAAAAAAGTAACCTAACGCATAGATTACCGAGCTGCGATGGGTGGCATGGAAATGTTAGGATTGAAAATGATGAGTGCTTACAATTTTTTAGATAATATTTTTTACAACTTGACCGTTATTAAATAAAAACATTAGATTGTTCCTGTAATTGTAAATTAAAACATTTTAGGTCACGCAAATGAGGGGAAAAAAGATCAGAACGCTCACCAACGGAATGGTGAACGAATGCTTTGGTGCGACGGCTGGTGTGGAGGGCGATGGGAGTCGGACAGACTTGCACCACCACGCTTCCTCACCCTTACCACGCATTAGGAATACGCTACATTTTTAATATAAAAGTAAATGTAAGGGTGTAGGCTAGAGCCAACACGCGCCTGGCGCTAGCACGAGGCGGAATAAATACCGGGTGGGGTTGCTCGTTCCTGCCCCCCCGCTTGGGAGGGCGCACAGCAACAGGCACATTTGCAAATGTGGTTTGTAAATTAATCCTTAACACGAATCGAGTTAAATTTTAATGTAAATGCTTTAAGGGACTGCGTTGTCTTGGTATGGAACCGTTTTGCTATTGTTTTCCTGCCTTTCTGAATAGATTATGCAATTTGAACTTGTATATGGTTGTGTGATGGTTTCTTCCTCGCCTGGTATGCGAGAGGGTCGGGGCTTGATCCCGACGCCTGTATATTTGAAGTTTGCATGTTCTCCCCGTGGTCATGTGGATTTTTTTTTCCGGTTCCCCCCCCCCCCCCCCTCCACATTTAGAAACACGCGTTTGGACCATTTCGATTATTTTGCTGCGATAAATGTCCAAATAAGCCACTTTGTTGTGCTATCATTTGTGGCCATGTTGCTTTTGAAACATAAGTTCATACCTTAGTGGGCTTTTGTTGGAACGTTCTTACCCTGTGCCCCTACTGGACATCTGTGAAATAGCTTTATAGCTTATCGGATTCCTCCAGTATAAAAAATATTCTGATTGGGAATGTCACTCGGGAAGGTGGCGGAAAATTTCGCTTCTGGAAAAATTGCCGCTAAAAATCGCGTGAAATCGTTTCAAGTCGAGCGCGTTGAGGTCTGACCACAATTTACGTAAAATCGTGTAACAACGGATTCGTGCCAAACGCCTCCCCTGCGGTTATAAACGACAAACGGACGTCTCTCGCTCGAGTCAAATACCAAACGTGGACGTTACGTCCACTAGAGGCGCCATCATTCACAAAGTAACACGTACTTGGTCGACTCAGACGACCGATCAGTGGGTGGCGAATCGTTCTACGCAGTGTGGGTTGCTCTCATTTAATCATCATCCATCTCCAGCAGCAGCCGATGCCGCAGTCACCAGCATAGGCAAAGATTCGCCTCCCCCCCCCCCCCACCTTTGGGGCTAGTGCCCAGAGCGAGATGCACCTATGAAGGCCGGCACTGTGGCACACAAGGGAGGGAGGGTAGTACCACGCCCCTTTGTCACCCCAGTGGCGAAGCTTACCCACCCCACCAGGTACTCGTTTGGGGAGGCAGAGTCGACCAATTAATTTGACCCAGACAAGGCCCACCGAGCAATAAGGCTTTGTCAGAAGCAACGTGGCCACACACGTTAGCTCAACGAAGTGGCTAAGTGTTGAAATTTATAGCATCCAAATGCATGCGTCCACGTAGGAGAAGGACCCGAAGAAAAATCCACACGACCATGGGGAGGGACATGCAAACTCCAAATATACAACCAGGCGTCAGGGTCTGGATCGAACCCACGACGACCTCATGACACACCAGGCGAGGTAGTTCGCATCACGCCACCGGTGGCGCCAGACCTAGGAGAGAGCCCAACACCGGCCCATATATTCGTCAGGTGGTAGTGGTCGTGGCGAGCGGGACGCGAACTCGGGGCCACGGGGTTCGTAGCCGTAGTGCGCCAAATCACTACACGACCGCTCCCCACCCCAAGCATTGTCGCGTCATCAGCATTGTGAGCGCAGCAGCGCCACATGGAGGAGGAGGCGGCGTCGTACCGGGTTCGGCGCAGGTGCGCGCGCACAGCGCCGTCTCGTCCGAGCCGTCCGCGCAGTCCCGCACCCCGTCGCAAACGTCGTCGCTCCGCACGCAGCCAGCGCCGTCTGCGCAAGCCACGTGGAACGCTTTGCACCCTGCGGAACACACGCGCGCGCGCGTGCGCGATCATGCGGCGGTGTATTTTTGTATTATGAGAAGTGTCGCGCTCGGTCACACAAAGTGCTCGTCACAAATGTCCCACAATACCTTGCCGATCTCAAGGAGCATGATCAAGCACGCAAACGGCGGTCATCCTCGCAGCAGCGGCTTTCAGATAACCGCGTCGCGCGCCTATAGATGCGCGCTTCTGCTTCCGATATCAGGAAGCCACGGGCGCCTTGCACTTTTAAAATCTCGATTGAAAGCAAATTTCTTTAGAACGTTTGGTTTGTAGTCCTCCCCCCGTATCTCAGATTAAGAGGGTTAGCTACGTACGGTGCGAAAGAACTTCACACGACTGGCACATGTAGCAGCAGCACCAAGCACACCAACCCATCACCACCACCCGCCCTCCATCCATCCACGCCGACAGTCTCGCAACCTCGTCCCGGTCTCCTTACCGCATCCCACCTCGTCGCTGTCGTCACGGCAATCGCTGGAACCGTCACAACGCCAGGACTTGGGCACGCAGTGGCCACTCGCACACATGAAGTGGTAATCCGCGTTGCACGCCGCCTCGGACGGAACGGCTTTAGCGAGAAGAGGCGAGGGGGCTCAGATGGAAGAGTTGGGGGGGGGGGGGGGGGGGGGGGGGAGACACAACGCCCGTGTTCCATGAATATTTCAAGCTCATGAATAGCAGTATGTGTCAGCCACTTTACAACAACGACTCGTTACAGGAGCCCCCCAGATAAAAAAAATCCGCGCATTTCGCCGACTCGAGTCCAAGAGATATTGGACCAACTCGCACAGGACGACGCTCAGTGGGATGCACGCATGGCCTCGTCTCGAATACGTAGCCAAAGAAAGCGCCACGTGATATCTATCACACGGAATGTAAAATGCAAACCTGCTAGCTCGCCTAAATAATTTCAGCGCAATCTTCAACAGCAATGATCTCTGCGCCCGTATCAAGCTTAGGAGACCCCCACCGCCCCACCGCCCCATTACGTTTAAACATTTCCAAAACGTTGCCACAGGCGCTCTATGCAAAAGCGTAACGATTTCCGCCAATAATTGTCCCCCCCTCCCCCCCTCCCCCCTCCCCCAATTAACGAGTAACGCCTCACTTCCTGCACATGTTCTGCCCGTGGCGACGATGGCTATAACACAGACTCCACTCTCTACGGTCCATGGTTGGATCCCTCCCCCCTGGTGGACCCTTTAGTGAAATCCTCTTCACCCCCCCCCCCCCCCGCAGCGCGCCGCTCGTCTCGTACCCAGAAGCTGCATGCGCACGGGTGCCAACAGGAGCGCCCACATCAGGATGGCGGCGCCGATCTGTGTCCACATTCTCTTGCCGGCGCTGCTTCGATGCTACCGCGCGCGAACCCAAACTACATTCGGTTGGGGCTCTCCTCTCCCGCGACTTAAATAAGTGTGCCCCGCCTCCACCACCACAGCCGCGATCACAACGATGATGAGTGTCCTATTCAATCAGCCAATTTAGGAGCCGATGGAAATCACCTGCGCGTCAAGACACCGGCTGGTTCACAGAGGGTCTGTTCGTCTGTGCTGACGGATAATTAAGCGGGAGGGGAAGAGTGGGATCGGGGGGGGGGGGGATCACCTGGGGGAATGCGTTTTCTCACGTGATACACGTTTAATTGGGTGTTTGGTACCTTGGTTCGCTTTATTTTCGTTGGTAAAGTTAATCAAAACCTGGTGCTGTGCAGTCTTCAGTCAGCTGAACGTATTCAATCGTGATTACTATGAGCCACTGTGTTGTCCACTGCTGGATACTACAGGCATCTCACCAATTCCGCCATTCCTCGTGTCCACGTCGTTCCTGCACATGAGCTGATCTTAGCGCTCTATCTCCCCCGCGGGTCGTCCTCTCGGACTCGCCCTTTTCTTTTCGCACCCAAAGACAAGCACGTCGGCATTGAGAGCAAATACCAATTGTAGAGGGAATTGCATCTCGTGGCAAGTGCGCGTCAACGCACGCACTCACGCACGTGGCTGTGATTGAACAATCAACAGGTGTGGCCGCGCGCTGGTGCTCTTCAGCTCCCCCCCCCCCACTAATGAAAGTATCGCACAATGAATGGGACGTTCATTAAGAGCAGGCAAGAGGGGGCTTCTGGCGGACACGCAATCTCCACGCTCGCGGCAGTGGTTGTCTCATTGCTAACGGGCTAAGCAAGTAACGATGCACCGATAGATCAATTTGAAATATATTGCTCTGCTCAATAAAACGACATTCAGTCTATTTTACGTATTTATTTGTAGTAATTTGCTTACATTTCCTATAATTTGCACCCTACTGGACATCTGTGAAAAAGAGCTTCACAGCTCATCTGGTTTCTCCAGGATAAATATTCAGATTCTCAGTCACGGGTGTAACAATCGATTATTTACAAATGATACGCTACATTTGATCGCGAAAAGTGGTCAACTATTCAAAGGAACAATCATAATAATAATGCAATATTTTTGTCGTCTCTCTTTGCCAGCTTCCCTTCGTCCCTCGAGGCGTCCTGTCTACGTTTTCAGGATTATCCTTCCTTGTCAAGGTCTCCACCGCCACCGTTGGACAGCCTCTCTCTCGCCCTGGGCTGCACGCAGTGCAGGATGAAGCTAGTGTGGGGCCTGTAGCATATGTTATAAAGGGGCACTAAATTAAAAAAAAACACGCGCAAATATTAAAACACAAATGTTTAACTGGCATAGTAAAGTAATTGTATTTTTTTTTCATTTGCTATACAGCCAGATAATTAGAGGCCGACCGAAACTGAATTTCTGGTAACGGCCGAAACCGAATGTAAACCGAAAGTTAAAAGTTGACTTTCTGCAGAACCGAAACGATGCCGAAAGAGGCCTTTGCCAACCTTCGGCGCCGAAACCGAATTTCGGTCGGCCTCTACAGATACTCCGACAAATCGCTAACCTTAACCACCCAGTCGTTCATAAAAGTTAAAGGCAGTATAATACTATAGCAACAGAGCAAGTGCAGAATCATTGAACCGGAATTGATGGCTTGAAAGCGTTTAGCGCGGGGCCCTTGAAAGTGCGGGGCCCGTAGCTACTACATCTGTAGCTACTGTTGTTGCTATTCGTACGATAATTCGGCACTGGCTGCACGTGAACGCCCGTGGCCGTGCTCGACTCGCGATGCCGTCGTCACACGCACGACTGCGTCATCGAGGCAGTCGTGCGTGTGGCGTCATCACGAAATGTGAAAATAAAAGTTCCACGAAAGTTCACTTGAGGGATTTCCAACTCTGGTTGCCCGCTTTTGGGACGGCGAAGCCACAACCCGCTACAGCGCATAGCCTCGGTGAATATCATTAATTACAATTATAATTTTATATAATGATTGAAAACTAATTTCTTTACAGCTGATCTCGTCAAGAAGCATAAACCACCATTCCGCGAGCTCCTGGTCATCGTCTCAGTAGCGACTTTTGGCTGTTGGCCATCGAACGAAGACGGAGGTCACCGCATCGCGCGCTTTCAGATGCGCTTCTGCGGCCGTCTGGAACGCTCTTCCTTTCCGATGTCACTAGGAGGCTATGCACTTTAAAATGTAGATTGAAAAGTATTTATTTACAACTGCTTTTGTGTGTTTAGTTTGTTGTCCTTCCCCCGGAACTCCAGCATCATCAGATGTTCACAAATCTCTGCTCTCCTAAAGCGTGTGTGATTTTTGTTGGTATATTTTTCCCCGCATCTCCGATTAGCACGGTTGGCTATGTACGGTGTGAAAGAAGTTCAACATACACACAATGGTCCGTACATTACGTCGTTACCTTGTTTAATATGGTTATTTAAAACGTATTTTTTGCAAATAAAATTTAATATTTTGCCGTTTTCTTTCAATATTATTCGTGACTGTTTTAACTTATAAAAAAAAAACCATTAAACAAGAATAACGTGCTGATTTAGAGCCGTTCACTCACAGCCCCATGGCGCGCTCCACTCGCCGACAGAGCCGTGATCACATCGCTGGCGTCCAGCTCCACAGGGCTTGGTGGATCACGTGCTTTCGTGAGATTCTTCCAAACTTGGCTAAAGCAGCAAGTGGTTTCGCTAATCCGTCTGTGCGGACTGTTAAATGCCTACCCCCCCCCCCCCCCCCGTACGTGCAGTGGATATCATTCGTGAGACTACAGTTCCACCACACACTCAGAGAAAATCCACTTATTTAAAACAGGAATTGGCACTACTGTAATGAACATTCCACTGCAGGGCTCTGCTGGGAAGTCTCGACACCCACTGTGGCTTCTCTGGAATAGTTTCAGTCACCAACGCTCGCCTTTGAGCGTCTCCCTCCCCTCTTGGAAGTGAGTGCCACAGTGCATCTCCCCCGTGCCTGGTGTTGGTGCGGCGGCCGCCAGAGACGCGGCGGCATCATTTAGACGCCACGCAGATCCCAACTGTGATTGATGATTGGTGATGAATGATGACTGATGGATGATCGAATATGATTGATGATCGATGGTGATTGATGACACAATTATTTGTGATAACGACGATGCTCATTGACACTTATGACAATGAGTAAATATTTTTTTCATAATAACGGTTATATTCTTAGCTCTTTCGGTAAAGTCACGTTGAAGGGAAACAATAAAATAATACAAATATATTTTATTGTTTTATATATATTATTATTTAATTGTTTTCCTTCAACGTGACTTTACCGAAAGAGCTAAGAATATGAACTACTGCAGTCACGAAAGCTTTAAATCAAAATATAATAACGGTTGTTATGGTTTATGATAATTATTGATGATGGTGACGCAGATTCGAGTTTGTTTGTTTAACCAGGTGAGCACCTAAGAGACCAAGGATCGTCTGTTTGGCAAGGTTGTCCATTTGTAAGCGAACGGATCGATCATGACCATGGATGGTGTTGCTGCAGCCTGCGTCCTGATGTACGATTACTACTGCGTTATAAATACAATTATATAGGCGACGTTTCAGGCAATGCCCCTTCTTCGTGCCATATTCATCATCGCACCTTATTCAAAGCACATTTGTTTGCTGTCAAGGATAACTTGCTTTAAACGTCGCCTATTGTTTACTTTTCTATTAAAAAAACAATGTTCTTGACGATTGTGTTGATACGTTGTTATTCATGTTTATGCACCACTGCCAACACAGCAGTACAGCCCCACCACATAATCTGCACAGTGATGAATGATAATTATTAAGAACCAATTGGCAAGGAGCCAGCCCCGCAACAGCCTGCCACGCGACGGCGACTCATCATCACCACCACCACCATAGTCTCACTCATCCCGCATCCACGTGGCGCTCGGAGCCACCGCCGTGGCTCAAGTCCCACAAACTCTCACGAGCGAGCGAGCGAGGCGGGGCTCGAACGCATTGGCTCGGGGTCTCCTGGGCGGAGCCGGGATGACACTCTCCAGCCCCTCTCCTTCCCTCTCCTCCTGCCTCTCTCTCTCTCTCTGCCTTGGCCAGCGCCACGTCCTGCACACGGAAGCGATGTTGCTGCTGCTGCCCTCCCGGGCGCTGCTGGGCAGCCTGCTGCTGCTCGGTCTGCTGGGTCTGGTTGCGGGGACCGACCCGGCCGAGCTGCTGGTGGAAGTGGTGGTAGGCACCGCGCGGCGGGTGATGCGCGCGGAATGAATGAGGATCGGTGTGTGGGGGGGGGAGCGCGCGTGGCATCGCGGCGATCAAGAAGCCTTCCGTAGACGGTGACAGGGCATCGCCGTGTGTCTCGAGCGCGCCTTTAAGTCTCGACTGTTCGTAGCTCTCTTGTCTAGTGACTCGCCCCCTGCCCTGGGAATGTGGAATGCCCATTGCCGGCTGTGGGTTGTTAAAATATGGGATGAGACGGATTCGCGAGGAGCCTTCGCGTGTCACGATGTCAACGCTGTTGGCGGGACGTGATTGCGGAGTTGTGTACTGGAAAAGAAAAAAAAGACTTTCGAAAGTTTCCTCTTGGACCTCCTTAGCTCTCTGAGTTTCCACGTTTGATTCGTCCGTGGAGTGAGCGGGGGCGATGTGACCCCGGGCCGCGTGTGACTCCACGCCTGGTGGGTGATGGCCATCCTCGCACTCAATGGGAAAGGGGTCGTAGTGGTCCAAGGCGTGGTGTTTTTGAGTCCCACTTGCTCGGTCGATTACTTTCGCAACAACCGTCTCGTCTCTTCCGCCTTGGGTTGCCCGCATTTGTTAAAACGGAGACAAAGTGCGGGCCCCCCTTAAGTCTGCCAGCCTTTCTGCGATGTGTCAACACTGAAAATGGGCCGTTGCTTGAAACGTCAGCCTAATGCGTGTTCTAAGGTCACGGGTAAACGAAGAATTACGTTTTATAGTTCAGCGTGTGCCCGCAATTCTAGTTGCATATGTTTATATCAGCATTATTACGATAAGTTAATCTCGCACCTCTACCGAGTTATGTTTACTGCTCTCTCTCTCTCTCGGCCGTTGCTCTGAAACTCGTTGAGAGATGTGCGTTTAACTGCTTCGTGCATTAAAAGTGGTTAAATGCCCGCATTCTTAAAATGGTGCAACATACACGATATTTCAGCTTGCAACTGAATTACTAAGATCAATACTCAATGTTATTTTATGACAAACTGCATCCAACACTGGTTAATATTAACAAAAAAATAACTTCTCCTTTTAGATATACAGTTTAAGATAACTTAAAACTCAACATACTCGTCAATAACGCCGTGGCCTTAAAATAAACAACACATGTAAATCGGCGACGTTTCGGCCAATGGCCCTTCTTCATTGCACAAGTACCTTCGTAATAGATGCATTGTTAATAACCAATCAACTTGGCTTGTGTACCGGTGGCCTATAGTGGGTGGAGAGGTTCTGTAGGAAGTGATGCAAGGAGTTTTGGTCTGAGCAGTTGGAACCCACGTGGCGTTGTCACACACGTACACGTGTCAGCACATCTGCCCACACGTGCACACGCACACACGTGCACGCGATTGGGAGACGGTGCAGTTTTGAAAACGCAAAGACGCTGAGGCTGTCGTGGATGAATATCAATCACGGGCAGTGATTAGTCATTTCCACGCGAGCTCATTCTACGTGGCCGAAAGGAAAGTGGTTTACACTGCGATACCATCCAATTTGGAGTGAAAGCTCGTCCAAATGTGACCGCATCACGACGATGTGCGGAAAACGTTGCGCGTGAATGTTGTTTGGAGACGAGAGAGAACCGGGGAGGTGTGCAGTGACATATGGACCCGGACAGAGGCAGAGAGTTGACAGCACGTCAAACCGATGAGACGAAAAAATACTTTCCATATACAATTCATTAGATCTCACGACGTTGCGAGCCATAACCCACTTCAAACAGGCGGGGGCTTTAAACCATTCTGACGAAAAACTTTGCCTAAATAAGTTATCGTAAACAGAGGACTGTCGGCTGTTGTCGTGGAATTGCCTCGTCGTCTGTAAACTCACGTGGCACGGCGCCACGTGGGGATATTCAACGATGCTCATTTGACCAGGTAAGACCCCCTGAACAGTATAGCTCTTTTTCAGAAGCGACCTGGCCACACGTTATATCTCAAAATCAAGTGGCCTATCGTGCGGAAATGTAAAGCAGCCAGACACTCTGAAGGCGTTTCTAAATGTGGAGGGAAAACCTGGAGGAGCCGGAGCAAAATCCACGCGAAAAAAGGGAAGAGCATGCAAACTTCAAATATACAGCAGGTGTCAGGGTTGGAATCGAACCCACAACCTCCTGTATACCTGGCGAGGTAGTAAACATCTATGTTGTGCTGTGCAAAGCACTCCGATGCATTTTCGAGTTTGTACCTCGTCGTTCGCGTTCGACGTTTCGCTGCGGGCACATCGTAGCACGAGTGACCGCGTTTGCCCCCACCACCCCCGGAACGCGCTCAGCACAAGCCCGCGGAGTGCGTGGAGCTGTCGGCCCAGGGAGACACGCTGCACGTGCACTACACGGTGAGAGCCGCAGGTGGCACGGTCACACGGCCGTGTCTGGGGACGTGGCTTGTGTGTGCTCGCGCACGCGCGCGCGTGTGTTGGTGTGTGTTGGTGTGTGTCCGGGGGGTTGAGTGGGTAGGGGTTTGTTTGTGTAAGTGCTGGATTTGGGGGTGTGGGGAGGGGGGTGTATGCTGGGTGGGTGGGTGAGTGGAGACAAAGGCGGCCGGGCGTGGTGCTGGCCAACCACATCCTCGTGTGCCGGTCCAGCCTTCATTGGTGCTCGCAAACAGCGCTTGCCCCAACGGTCTGTTCATGCTATGCGGGAAGTATTGATCTTTGGAGCGGTAGTGTAGCAGTTAGCGGGCTGCGCTGCGATCCTGAGTTCCATTCCCGCTCATGCTCATGGCGAACATCAGTGACGATTATCTAAATCGGTTATGGGCCTCCCCTCGGTCGACTCGGCCTCAAATAAGTACCTGGTGCGATGTGTAAACATTGTCACTGGAGATACAAAGGCGGCCGCGCGTGGTGCTGGCCACCCACCGCTACATGTGCCTTGCCGACCTTAATAGGTGCTCACTAACAACACTTGCCCCATGCCTGCTAAGGCTACACGGGGGATCATTGTGTGCTGTACGTATGTTTACGAGTGTGTGTAAGTGGGTGTGTGCTGTACGTTTATGACATCCGTGCGTGTGCGTTGCCTGATGGCGGATAGTCTCGGTAGGCATCTGTTGAGCGTGCCTGGGTGGCCCACAAGGTGTACACGTGTCCTCTCGAGAGAATCATGACGTGGCTTACTGATGCAGCGTGGGTTAGGCTGGGAGGGGGGAGGATGGGAGGGAGGGGTGGGATATTGGACTAAAGCCTAACCTGGACGAAGCAAACACACGCTAGCATGAATAAAGTTAATCGCAGTGTTTTAACATGATTCTAATACCCGCACTCTTGCCCATACCCAGGCGCTTGAACGTAATTTGCAAGAGTTTACGTGTGGACAACTCGCCCATAGCACCGCCATACCTATTAGGATTTGGGGGAGCGGTTCATTATTGAGTTCGAATGTAAGTCTTGTGGGCTTGATTTCATATTGGTGGCGTTTAAAATTAAAATTCAAAGCAGTTGACGTGATTAAAGCCCTCCACAGTCATGTTTTACAATGTCCGCAAGCTACTACCCAAACCCAAATGTGAACCTAACCAGGATGGTTCATCCAGCAGTATGCGTTGGACAAAGAACAGTCCATTACTTATTATTATTATTATTGATTAGGATTGCCACCCTGTGCCACCATCATCTACTGACATTGGCACAATTCTCCAATCAGTACCGGGCCTGGCACGCTAAAGGTGGATTGACATCGGCACGTGTGTACATGCGCATTGCACGAACAGCCCTTTGTGAATGGATCCACTGCTGGATGAGGCCCTGCCTGCACGGTGTGGGTCGTGGAGGATGCGCCACCATGCATCGTTCACCACGCCGTTCAGTGGCGATGGTGTAGGCGGGGGAGCATAGACGCGAGCGCATAGCAGTACAGAGCAACAATGGATTTTGCTGGCTAGTGAGCCTAGAGAGTCACGGTTTGTGAGACGAGCACGAGTGCCACGTGGCGCCCGTCGAAGAGGCGGGCTTGCGGCTGGACCCGTAGCGTGAGCGGGTGAACGAGCGTGCCGTGGACCGTGCCGCGCAGGGTCGGCTCAAGGACGGCTCCGTCTTCGACACGTCAGCCATGCGGGACCCCCTGCAGGTGGAGCTCGGCAAGAAGCAAGTGATTCCAGGTGAGAGCGTCATGGATGGGTGGCAAGAGGACTGCATGACACACACACACGCACACAAAAAGAAAGATCCCCCCCCCGGATAGCCTTAACAGACTTGGGGCAAATTTGGGGAAATTGTTGTTAGCGAGCACCTATGAAGGCCGGCACGGTACACGAGGGGGTGGGTGACGAACACCACGCCCGGACCCGTTGATGATGTTAGCACACCGCACCATGTACTCATTTGAGACTGAGCCGACCTAGGAGAGGCCCAAGACCGGTTCAGATATTCATCACCGATCTTGGTCGTGAGCGGGAACCGAACTTGGGTTGTTGAATCGTAGCAGGTTCCACTGTTTGGTCATTTCGCGATACATCCATTGGCCAAGCTGTGTGCTGCGGCTAGCTCTTCTTGCCGTGCTTTGTAGGGCAGACCCTGTTGCATTGACCTGCAAGGTCTCTGTAATCCAGTGGTTCTTAACCTGGGGTGCACGCACGCCCTGGGGGTGCGAGATGCCCTTTCTGGGAGTGCGAGACATGGCCAGATTTTTTTCGAAGGTAAATCATCGAAAACATTCATAAAACGGAGGTATTTATTAACGTAACTTTTTTTTGTTACTATTGAGAATCAAAGGGGTGCAGACTGTAGTAAAGGTTAAGAACCACTGCTCTAATCGGAACCCCCCCCCCCCCGAGTGTTTTCCGGGGCATTTTCTTGGTTAAATAATTTCAATCCCCTTGGAAACAGGCCCACGGGTGTGTGAGGAGTGACCGTGATTCCTTCTGAGTTTGTGTAGTGTGTACGATACGGCAGGGCTTACTTTCAGCCAAGTCCATGTTGATCGGTGACCAGGAGAAATACTCCCACACCCGGTTATATACCACGTCCACGATTAACTTTCACTATTCGCTGCAGCTAATAGTCACCTGCCTGTACACCAGTTTACCAGCGGCATAGACATTTTTCAGTGAAACAATATAATTTCTGGCCACACGTGTAGTGTGTAACACTGTGTAACACTGTGTAAACCCCTTACACACGAGGCTATTGAAGATCCCAACCAGACGACGTGACCCGACCCACCGAGTGTTACCCACAATGATGACCCTTGACCGTATGCACGCTGCCCTTTTATCCCCCTAGCGAGGCCTTCCCCCCGCCCTCTGGCTACGCCCCCCAGCCGGCTCGCTCCCTTTATTACCCGAATGACGGGATGTACTGGCATTACAAATGTACTAAATGCAGGGTTTTTTGTTACACAGTGGGTGTTTTACCAGCTTCTACCCGCTTAGGGGGGTGCACGTGAGCGAGCGAGCACGATCCAAACGCCGGCAATCTCCCGTGACACCGCGTGCGGGCCCAGCTGTAACGATGCCCATGGGGAGCTTCCTGCCGGTGGTCGGCGGTGCGACAGCCCTGCCGTTAACGTCGCAGCTTTGGAGGAACGTTCGGCTTAAATAAAAGATATTGAGCAACGTGTAAAATCAGACAAGTGAGCAATGGGTGTATTATCGAATTATGCGTTTGTAATGAGCACACGAAGAAGGAAAATGTAACACAGCTTACAATCTGTGCTGAGAAAGAGGTTTTGTGGCTGCTGGGGGCATGATTAACGAGGTGTTTTGTTTTGCTCCTACCAGGATGGGAGCAGGGCTTGCTCGGCATGTGTGTTGGGTAAGTCCCATGACAACAGAGAGAGCTCCTCTCGATCTTCCGCTCAGCCTCACGCAAACCAGCGAGGGAGGGAGGGAGCGAGCTGCTGTGGGTTTATTGTGAGATATACAATGTGCGTTATGGCTTACTAAAGTATTTTTTTATTGCATCGATGGGACCTTTTTGCCAGTATGCAAGATAATGTTTTGTCACAAGTATGTGCGGTTAATGCAGACTTGATGACTTGCAAAAGTTATCTATTTGGTGTTTGAAAATTGTAACACCTGTTTTATTGCCAAAAAGGGTAAAACCTATTCTTCTTTTCCAGGTAAGGCCCACTGAGCTTTTCAGATATTTTTGAGAAATTATAGCTCAACCAAAATAGCTTATCATGCGGCAATGTCTAGCAGACAAATACTCTTAGCGCACGTTTCTAAATGTGGAGGGAAAAACCGGAGTACCCAGAGAAAAAAACCCACGTGACCATGCCGAGAGAATGCAAACTCCAAATATACAGAAACCAGCGATCGAACCCACGACCTCCTGTATACCAGGCGAGGTGGTTGACATCTCGCCGAGGCAAAAGTGGGGCTTTCAACGCAGAAATACGAGCGCGGCCCTCATTTTTACAGCACCGACGCGAAAACACCGCGCGTGTAAACCGTGCCCGTTTGCTCACGCCAAATTGAATGGCTGTCACGCAGTGTGGCGAGTGGTGGCGCAGCGGTGAGCATGTGCCGCGCTGGCTTTCAAAGATGCTCGCCAACAACACTTGTCCCAACAATCTGTGAAGGCTATACCGGGGAATATTTGTCTTTGTAAGTAAATACACACATTTGTGTATTTATTTACATATGCATGTATACATCGCTAGTGAGATTGTTGCTGGGTTTTGCTATGGGCTATAGCGTCACACTCCACAGGAGGCAAATAGCTTGGTTCACTTAAGATATATTATTATTATTCATGTTGGAGGAAAGTGGAGAAACCCCACGCATATGAGGAGGCAACACTATCCCGTACAGATGGGAGAGGTTAGCCCGCACTTTGCTGTTACCACCTCCTGGCGAGCCAGGGTTATGTGGCACCTCCTCGACGCCCACGGGAAGGGAGTTTCACAACATGCGTGTGTGATCCACCTACCCTCGCTGCTGCCTCCACAGTGCTGGATCACAGGAAGCCACATGCATAGCCGCCGCCGCCTGGCTGGGACAACCAACTCGCTAGACTGGAGAGCCTACATTTTAAAATGTTTAGCATTTGACTTTAGGAATTTTACGACTTTAGGCCAAGTGAAATCAACTTCGAGGCCATCATTTTTTGGTGTCTAAACGTTATTTTGCATGTCTGTCCAGTAATCGTGATCGGCTGAATTCTAGCTGTGCCAAAATGTCATCCCTTTAGCCCTTCAAGAACATCATGAGAATTGACATCAGTCACGCACAATAGACAACGCGGGCGTGGCGTTGATCTGCACCCCTATTTCATCAAGTTCCGCGAGCTAAGCAGGCTTGACCCTGGGTCGTGTTTGGATGGGCGACCACCAGTGTTGCCCAGCAGGTTGTTAAAGAGGTGGCTGCGGGGGGGGGCTAACGTAGGCTGCGTGGTGGTCAGTGCAGCAACAGCTATTGTTCTGCATGTGGTTGTATGCTCCCAATCAGCGCTGACCAGAGTGGCGAAGTATGGTCAAATAGCCCCCGTGACCGGCGCGGCGTGGGGGAAGCCCTGGTCCAGTCGGTGGATTGACACGCGGCTGTATGCGTGTTACCGTCTAAAGGGAGAAGAGGAAGCTCGTGATTCCGCCTCACCTGGCGTACGGCAAGAGGGGCGCTCCTCCCAGCATCCCAGGTAACGGCGGGGCTGAGGGCAGCACCGGGCCCGGCTCCCACGCCGGCCCCCTTGGCGTCACCGTTGGGACGGTTTTAACTTAAGGAAAAGACAACACAAGCCATGGCCAGGTCTGGTACAATCACGACTGGGCTGTTGTGTCCAGGGCCGCTCCGCGCGAGTTTCAAGATCCAGATGTGAGCTGCTGCCGCCACGACCTTACCGATATTCTCTACCCTCCCTCCAGATCCCACAGCTGCTCCACAGTAGACACGCAGCAAACCACTTCTTCCATGACCTGCCCCGACAGTCTCCACCACCATCTGCCCTCAGGCCTCTCCCTTGGTCGCCAGATTCAAACCACCAAGGGGAAGAAGCTCACACGGGTTTGAGGCCTCAGTAACGTAACACACCGTCAAGGTGATGCTGTCCAGCCTTGTTATGGCAGATGATGTGACATTAGTCCGGCTACACTGCTCTGCACTGTATTCCTTACATGAATACACATGCTGGACTACACTTCCATTTTAACAACTTGATGTGTCGTCATCACCGCAGTGCTATGGTGGCAGGGCTTGGCCTCAACTTTAAGGTCCGCGTTTCTCAATAACGAATTCACGAGAGCTTGTTTTTTCTGCACTGAGTCTTCAACTTTCATGCCTGGCCTCACACCATCGGTGGTCTTTGTTTGCAAGTTTCTCAACAAACATGACTATAACATTTCCACATGAATATATACATAGGCAATATGATAGTGTGAATGTTCGAGCAATCACATCTGGGTTAAATCGCTCCCGTGGTGCGAACGCGGATGAGAATCTGCGATGGGCTCAGTTCATCGTACTGTATTAACGTACAGTACTGTATTGTATTAACGTACTGTATTGTATTAACGTACAGTACTGTAGTAATGTACTGTATTAACGTACAGTACTGTATTAATGTATTGTATTAACGTGCAGTACTGTATTAATGTATTGTATTAACGTACAGTACTGTAGTAACTTATTGTATTAACTTACAGTACTGTATTAATGTATTGTATTAATGTACAGTACTGTATTGTATTAACGTACAGTACTGTATTAATGTATTGTATTAACGTACAGTACTGTATTAATGTATTGTATTCACGTACAGTACTGTATTAATGTATAGTATTCACGTACAGTACTGTATTAATGTATTGTATTCACGTACAGTACTGTATTAATGTATTGTATTAATGTACAGTACTGTATTAATGTATTGTATTAACGTACAGTACTGTATTAATGTATTGTATTAACTTACAGTACTGTATTAATGTATTGTATTCACGTACAGTACTGTATTAATGTATTGTATTCACGTACAGTACTGTATTAATGTATTGTATTCACGTACAGTACTGTATTAATGTATTGTATTAACGTACAGTACTGTATTGATGTATAGTATTCACGTACAGTACTGTATTAATGTATTGTATTAACGTACAGTACTGTATTAATGTATTGTAGTCACGTACAGTACTGTATTAATGTATAGTATTCACGTACAGTACTGTATTAATGTATTGTATTAATGTACAGTACTGTATTAATGTATTGTATTAACGTACAGTACTGTATTAATGTAATGTATTTACGTACAGTACTGTATTAATGTATTGTATTAACGTACAGTACTGTATTAATGTATTGTATTTACGTACAGTACTGTATGAATGTATTGTATTAACGTACAGTACTGTATTAATGTGTTGTATTTACGTACAGTACTGTATTCACGTACAGTACTGTATTAATGTATTGTATTCATGTACAGTACTGTATTAATGTATTGTATTCATGTACAGTACTGTATTAATGTATTGTATTCACGTACAGTACTGTATTAATGTATTGTATTCATGTACAGTACTGTATTAATGTATTGTATTCACGTACAGTACTGTATTAATGTATTGCATTCACGTGCAGCACTGTATTAATGTATTGTATTCACGTACAGTACTGTATTAACGTATTGTATATACGTGCATTACTGTACTAATGTATTGTATTAGCGTACAGTACTGTTCATAATAAAGGTTTTTGGGTTAGATCGCGTTATTTATAAATGTGTCGTAACCCTCCACCACCCGACACGGCCAATCAGCAAAAAAGTGTCACGTTGACAAAAGACAAATAGTTCACTACTTTAGCCCACCGGTGTGTTGAAGAGTGAACCCACAACATTTACAGTTTGAGTACGACATTTCGCTGGTAATTACAGCCAGCATCATCGGGCAATTCGCCAGAATGGTAAAGCCCTCACTTGCTCCCGGTCTTAAATAGAGCAGCAGGGTGACGTCATCATTTAACTCATTTCAGGTGCAGTGATTTGAGGCAGAGGGGGGGTATTGTAATTATATAATCGATTGGTAATCAGTCAATGGTTATGATTAGTAATGAGTTGGAGATTAGTAATTAGTTGTAATGTGTGTTATTGTGATTATATGCTAAGTTAGTAATCCGTTAATTAGTATGTGTTTCCCCTATAAGGAATTGTAGTATGTATTACTTAATAATACGCTTCCAAGTCGCACTAAGCCTGTAGCTGTCAGAGCGATTAAAGTTATTTCTATTTCTCTCAATTTCAATGGATTCTCTAATTAGTCTTTGCCAGTAATAATTCGTTTTACACAACACTTCAGCATTATCAAAATCAATTCAGTGTCCTTGTTGACAAGCATGTTCTGCCACTGTCGACAGTTGTGTTTGAGATAATTTAATATTTCTTTGGTGTTCTTTTAGTCTTATGCTGATGTTATGTCCCGTCTGTCCAATATAGCATCTGCCACATAAACAACTAATCCGATATACACCTTCTGTTGATAATTTAGGTAATTCTTCTTTAGTGCAAGATATTAGTTTTTGAATTTTGTGTACTGTACCAAATCTTACTGTAATGTTTTGCTTTTGCAAAACACGGGCTAATTTGTCAGTTACTCCTGAGATATATGGAATTTTAATTGTTTTAACAATATGATCGCTTTCAGCAGTGTTGCTTTGCGATCGTGATTTGGCATTCAGTGCTCTGTTAATTTGAGTATTATTGTGGCCATTATGTCGTAATGCTTCTTTAACGTGTTTGATCTCTCTCACTAGACTTTCACCATCTGACACTGTTTTAGCCCGATGTATGAGTGTCTTGATAAGAGAGGATTTCTGAGCTGGATGATGATGCGAATCTGCATTCAGATAGGCATCAGTGTGCATTTGCTTTCTGTAAACGCTGTGTGTTATTTTACCGTTTAGGCCATGTCCAAGCAAAATATCTAGGAACGGGAGTGTGTTGTTCACCTCCATTTCCATGGTGAACTTGATGGCTGAGTTTTGTGCATTGAGATGATTTAGAAAATCATTAAGTGTATCTTTACCATGTGGCCAGACAACCAAAGTGTCATCCACTTATCTAAACCAAAAAGATGGTTTTAATGTGCTCGAGGCAAGTGCTCTTATTTCAAAGTTTTCCATGTACAGATTTGCTATAGCAGGAGATAAAGGAGAGCCCATTGCTGCTCCTTCCTTTTGTTTAAAGAAATCCCCTCTCCATAAGAAGTAAGTGTTATTTAAACAATGGTCAGCAAGTTTTGGAATATCTTTTGGTAAACCTGTATTCTTTACTAGTGTATCAAGTAATTTAAGTGATTCGTTCACTGGAACCTTAGTGAATAGAGAAAGCACATCAAAACTTACCAGAATATCATTAGGATTCATTTTAATATCTTTAATCACATTCACAAGATGTTCTGAATTTCTTATGAATGAAGATGTCCTACCGATGTAGGACTGTATTTGTTTAGTTATATATTTTGCTAATTTATATGTGGCAGAGCCAATTGTACTGACTATGGGTCGTAATGGAATGACACAAATGCACACGTTTTCTAATTTAAAATAGGTACATTTCAAAATATCACTGTCCTGGTCACAAAAGCAAAGTTGGTGGGGAATAATAGCCATGTTCTGTACTTTTGAGGCATAAGCAATTAGGAAATAACACTTACTACCCAGGAAAAAATGTGTTAAAATTGGGAATAAGATTATGAATTTCCCAATGAATGCCTCTTATATGCAAAAAAACTTAAATATATGTGTTAATGCATCATCCCAAAGTGCATGCCTGGATATATGGCCGGTCAATACCCAGGTAATTTAATGGGGTTTGCCGTATCGTATCATGAAAAGTTCCGTAGTCGAAACCCCAGGGACCACACACGGCAGAACACGACAGCCATGATACATCGGGAAGACTCCCCAGCATGTGCATTCATGTCTGCAGAACAGTGTAGGCAAGAGACCCAAGTTGTCATGGTCGTGGAGTAGCTTGGCATCGGACAGAAGGCTTTCGCTACGCAGCAATGATGCACACTTAACAGCTCATCGCACGGCCGTATGCGGTAGGGGCAGAAAAGGAGGATGCCGAGCTTGCGAATAAACATTCTGCAAATGCGAATAAAAATGAGCCATCGCGTGGCAGAGCGAGCAAAATGCAGCAGATGGCGTGAATATTGCATGCGCGAGGAGCATCCTCGCGATTTTCCATTGCGCTCTGAGTGAAAGCAGGAGGGAGGTGGGGGGGGGCTAGAGGTGGGGTGGGGGGCTGCGTGAGGCGAAGGTGGAAAGGAGAGGAACATAAAACCAGCGTGATGGTTAAATCCCACTCACAGTCGTGATGATTCGTTGGACCGATTTGCATGTCTTGAAGCTACCGGATCTCATCAATTTTAATGAGGATCTTTACGAGGATTCTGTGGATCTGCAAGCATTTCAGTGGTGGCATTTAAGTCGGCACGCGTTTATTAAACCCAGCGCCTGTCAAACCCGGCGCAGCAAGGGAATGCTCAGAATATCAATGTGCTCCGGTGATTAAGCTTGAAATATTTAGGCGGCTTGATGGGAAAAGTGGCCATACAATGAAACTGCTCGAGGGCCATTTTTCAACTTTCATTACACACGCGGCGCACGCACGCGCGCGCGCACTGACACACGCACGCACGCACGTGCACCGTGACACGCACGCACGCGCCCACGCGGCATCATACGTACGCGGCCTGGCTTGGCAGTCAGGACCGAGCGACGAGGCAAAGCATCCACACGACGCCTCCACCAATGCGCACATCTCCACACCCACAGAGCACGCTGCTTCATTTCACGTGCGGTACGCAGGAGCCGATGCTCACTGCGGCAGATGCACACGGGACGCGGCGGGCGTGCGGAGTTCACCGAGTCGGTGATAATGTATGCTAAGCCTCGCTTATCGGCATGGCCAACACGCCGGCCCGATGTCAGCGAGAGATGCAGCGGTGCTCACCGCTCGCATTAATCTCCGGTGATGCGTGCGAGACAGACGCAGCGTGCGTACGCTGCTTCTGTACGCGTGCGCACACGTGCATTCACACGTGCATGCAATTCCCTTTTTCCTGTCCTGTACGGTTCTTTGGTTGTTTTCTACGCGTATGCCCTTATTACCTCCCCTCCGTTCTCTTACGCACGACCAAAATAAACCACCCAATCGCACGCTGCGGCAGCTCTGGGCTCTTTTTTTTGTAATCACTTATGTGTCCATTTTAATTTAGCTGCAGAGGCACGGGCGGAGTGCAACACAGGTGACGTAACGGAGGTCGTTTGAATCGGAGGTTGTCCGTGTGGGTGTTCCTTCACACGTTGGGGCACGCTGCCGGCGATGGTGATTGATGATGTGGGACAGTTGACGGAAATCAAGTGTGTTTTATTACTCGCGCTCTGCACCGTAACCCCTAACCTTCTCGACGCGTCATCTCTTCATCGCGTTTCCGTATCTTCATCCCGATGCGCTCACTCTCCTCCTTCCCCTCGTTGCCTTCCCCCACGGCACGTGACTCGGCGCCCGCCGGGCACGGCCAGCGGACGCCGTGCTCACGTTCGAGACGGAGCTCGTGTCGCTGCGTCACAAGGAGACGTGGGAGCGGGCGCTGGAGACGGCGCTGCCCTTCGTTTACGTGGGCCTGGTGCCGGGGCTGCTGTGCCTGCTGGCGTACTACCTGTACCGCAAGGCGTCCGCCCCGCGCGCCTCCCGCAAGAAGGCCAAGGAGGAGCGCAAGAACAAGAAAAAGTGATCCCGACAGAAAAGCACCGAGCTCGCGAACACACACGCCGCGGGGGGAGGATGAATATTTTTTTCCGTTGCTCGCGCACGTGCGCCACAGTGGTTTTGCCACTCCTCATCTTGGGCTCCCAGCATTTTGTCTTTTTTTTAAATTAGGGACGGATCAATCCTGTGCGGTGTGTGTTGAGAAATCGCGAGCAATTTACAGGGTGTTTTAAAAAGATGGACCCGATTTGAAATCGCTATATCTCTGCAACCACAAACCGCCCATGAATGAAACTCTTACCACTTGAAAGGGCGGGGCATAGAGAGGGCGGGGCATAGAGAGGGCGGGGCATAGAGTTTCAAATAATTACCACTAGGTGCCTCTCCCAGCACACAAACAGCCCCTAGCCTCAGTCATTCGCAAGACAACGCTGCCTCAACGTTGGATAGGTCGCACGGGACCCCAAGACTTGGCGCTACACTCTTGGCCACCAAGATCCCCAGGCATCGCACCCTGCGAATTTTTCGTGTGGGGATACGTCAAAGACCGTGGTGTTTTTGTGCCATCATTAGCGACTAATCTGGATGACCTCAAAAACAGAATCACGGCAGCGGTGACTTCAGTGGAAGAAGACATTTTGAGAGGCGTTGGGGACGAATTCAACTAGCGTCTCGATGTTTTCTGTACAGCAGGTGGAGGGCACATAGAGCATTTATAAAATGGTTAGTAAAACTTAATGACTCATTAAACCGTTTTTAACTTTTTTGTTTAATTGTAACATGTTGCCATCGTGAAATATACTGCCTTGAAATTGGGTCCATTATTTAAAAAAACACCCTGTATTACAACAGAATAGCACAAAAAAAATATTCTCAAAATCATATTGCAATTCAAAAGCCTGTTCAATGTTTCCGTTTGTGCTGTGGTCGAATCTGTGGCCTTGTAAACTCAAAAGGATGGCAGCTCTCCTGCATCTGGCGGAACGTATACGCAGCTTGAATGGAGACGTCGCATGAACACTCGGAATTCCGCTGCTGTATTTCTATTTGTGGCTTGACTCGGAATCGGAATTATCGATCGCACCTATCGGGAATTCGACTGGCGCTGTGCATTGCAATAATGTTAAAAAAAACCCTTGTTTTTCTAAAAAAGGCAGACTCAACAAAAAATCTCTGCGACCCGCGCGTAGCCGGGATTGTTACTTGGGAGTGGGCATCCAACATCAGAGCCACGGGCGTAACGACGTTCGGAAGTTGTGTATTGTGCGTGGAAGGGCCCTTCGAGTCTTCAGCAGGGATCTTGCAAAATAAAATTCGTCGGTGGAGCTTCCGTGCCGCTGTGTTCTGTTTCAGCTCTCCCGCACGTTAAATGCCTCCCGTATGTGCTAAGCGGTGGTGGCACCGCCATCATTGGCTATGATCTATTCACTGCTGGATAAAGGTCTCCCTAAGCCATCGCCGTCTCAGTCTCGCGTTGCAACAATCCATATGGCTGCTGCATACGAGGCAATTATGGGGCGCCACGGTGGTGAGATGTTAACTACCTCGCCTGGCATACAGGATGACTGGTGTTCGATCCCGATCCTGACGCCTGCTGTACATTTGCATGTTCTCCCTGTGTTCGCGTGGATTCTTCTCCGGGTCCTCCACATTTAGAAACGTGCATTAAGATTTGTGTTCAAGTCGCTTCTAAAAAAAATAGGAGCTGGATAGCTCCCGTTGCTGTGCGTGCTCATCCCGGGTGCGTGCCCTCCCGTGTCGGGGCCATCGGCGCATCCCAGACCCCGGGAGCCCGCCGGCCATCAAAAACCCCGCCTTTTGGACGCCTTTACGGACGTACACCGCGAAGCAACGTTCATAGAGAGCTAGGTGGTTTAATCTGTACATCCACTTCATTACAGTACAAAACGGTTCCCAAAAGCGACCATGCAGTTGACACATTGCGCGCACCGTGGCCCCGGGGTTAATTGGCTCAAAGCGGCATCGGCTCGTAACACTGTGCTGCTTGCCCAGGGGGTTCGCACCGCACGCCGGCGTTCGTACAAAACGAAAACGCCCCGTGGACCGCGCACGTGTCGTCGGAACGGCGTTTTGCAGGCGCGGGCGGCTGTTGGTTGCGCGAGCCGGACGCCTCGGGGGCTGCGGAGCGCCGGGAACCTCGCGGCCTCGGTGATGCTCGCCGCGCGTGGACTGGCGATTGCCCCTTTGAGGAAGAAACGCGCGCGCAAAGTCGCCCCGCGGCCACAAGGAGGACCGTGGGCAAACGTCGCTGTGGGCAAGCGCTGCCTTCGTCGCCGGCGTCTCCTTCATTCGGTCCGGGCAAGCGGCGCGTTGGCACCACCGTGTGGACGCAAAGCGTAAGCGCTCAGGTGAGCTCAGGTGAGATCAGGTGAGTTCAGGTGATCTCAGGTGATCTCACCTGAGCTCAGGTGAGATCAGGTGAGTTCAGGTGATCTCATCTGAGCTCAGGTGAGATCAGGTGAGTTCAGGTGATTTCACCTGAGATCACCTGAGATCAGGTGAGTGTCGCACATTGCCTTGAAGTGACCCCCACCGCCCCTTCCACGATTGATTCGGTTATCGGTTCACGGGTGCCACACGCCAAGCAATTGGGCGGGCGTGGATCCTTCGCAGATTGAAGCCACCTTGATGATGAGCGCGGCACGAGGGAGGCGTTTTCCCCGCCGAGCCTATTAATGTCGCCCGATATCGGGGCATGTTTTGAATCGTTACAAATATATAAAAGCTCGTCATGAGATCTCGGCTGCCAGCGCAGTGTCTCGCGGTCGTGAGTTACCCCGCTGACGGATTGCGCGTGCGTGAAAATGTTGCTGTGGCTATCCTACAAATGATTCCTTTTTACAAAAAAACCTATTCGGTGGAAATATTGCATTTTTGAAATGCGCTTTTGGTGCCGCGTGGATGTAGAAAATAATTGTAGGTAAAAGTGGCTGAAAACACTGCGATTGTCCCCTTGAAGAGCAATTCACCACCGAGGGGGTCGCCTACAACTCACGATGGCGGCCTCTTAAACAACTCTCGAAACCCTCTTCAAGAAGACGCGAACAACATCAACGGAACCCCCCCCCCCCCTGGTCGTTTTGATTCGAGACTTACCGACGCAAAAATAAACAGCGATTGGGGGTTAATGAAGGAATAAATAAATAACTGCCATGAAGGCGGTCTCTTCTGTGCCCATGCCAAAAAACGTCTGGAGCAAAAGTTCGACGAGTTCCCCTTTGTCCAGGTTCAAGTCCCATCCCCGGGGGGGGGGGGGGAGCGGGGCGGGGGGCAGCAGGCATCCTTCAAAGTCGTCCGCTCGTGGCTTTTCTTTACTCGGCTCGCTTAACCCCTCCGCCCCGCGCCTGGCTGTTGCTCCCCTCCCCCGCCTCCTCCGCTCCCTGCCACTTGGCGTCTCTCACAACCCCGTGACCATGACCTTCAGCGGCGGGGGTCGCGCCTGGACGGCGGCGTGTGCCGGCGCGCGGCTGCAGCAGGGCACCGGGTCGCCCGGGTCGGCGCCGCCCACCGTGGGGAAGTACGCGTGGTGCAGGATGGGCAGCTGGATGGAGAGCCGCCTGTGGCATCTGCGAACGGGTCGGGGCGGCGGGTGTGGGGGGGGAGAGGCCGCGTGAGGCTGCGGTACGCGAGGGGCCGGTAGAGGCCGCCGCGTCGAAGCGGAGTGGCAGGGCGAGCTTGAGGAGGAGGAGGAGGTGGTGGAGTGACGGCGCGCACGAGAAGTTTGTTTCTGCTGCGGCGCTTGGCCGGCGAAGGTGCCCCGGCCTGACGCATCGCCGCCAAACGCGGCGCGCTTCGCGAAATGCAGCGCGCGCGTGACGGACTGTGATGCATTGGAAAGTGATTTACCCGTTAACCAGCAGGGCCACAATTTAAATACAGTTAGCGAGAACACATCTCTTAATAGTTGGCCCCGCCGCCGCTGCCTCGGTTCCGAGAGCCCAGCCTCGGCGTGCGTGTGAGAGAGCGCGAGGGACCGGAGCAAACCCCACGAGGCATTCCTGCCATTAGTCGGTGCTATTATCGACGGACATTAATTATTAAGAATCACAAAAATGCTCCACTACATTATCCCCCGGTGAAAAATGACGCAGAAGCGCGCAGGCTGCGGGGTGCTCCTTCGATTATTTAAACCTTGCCTAATGCAGGTGGAAAGAGACCAAACAAGGGCACGCACCGCAAGGATGCGCGGGGCACGCGAGACCGATGTCAGAACGCGCGAGCACGCCAGAGACGCGAGCGCGCGTCGCGGCCGCGTGAAATGAAGACAAAAACGAAAATTTGCATCGCCGCCGTAGCAAGTGGACGCGGAAGCAGCAACAACAAAAAATCCAGCTCAGGATCGAGGGCACAAATCGCAACCGGATGCAGCCTCACGGCGTTGGCGTCCGAACAAACGGAGCGGGTATTTACCGCCGCCGAGTGGCATGCAAATTGAACTCGCGGTGTTGCACTGACAGATCCTGAAAGCTGTCCAGGGCTGGAAACGACTCCTCAGTCTGCGAGGCACTGAACTGTCTGTCCTGCTGGGCACTGTTTGAATCCGAAATTGCGCTGACGTGATTGCGTCTGTCAGGAGGTCCTGGGTTTTCCCTGCCCAGACCGAGCCACGTGGGGTGTATGCGGAGCATTAAATGTGCCCTCGTGTTCACACGTTGCTCTGCAGGCGCGCGGCCTTGGGTTGTTTACGCTCGACACGACGTTGATTTTCATTCGTCCATTTCTCAAGAGCGAAGTCGATCGGGCCGACGGCTGTATCCGTCTCGTGCGTTAAAAATACACAAAATTAAAAAAAAACCGGCATCTGGGGGAAGGAGCCCACCGCTCGATCATCAATGGGGGCTCATCAGCAGGATTTGTAGATTGGAAATCGCTAGTTTTATCTGTGATCGCTAGTTTTATCTGGGATCGCTAGTTTTATCTGGGATCGTTAGTTTTATCTGGGATCGCTAGTTTTATCTGGGATCGCTAGTTTTATCTGGGATCGCTAGTTTTATCTGGGATCAGCAACAGCACAGGGATTGGGGCCCGGCCTCCACAGTTTGCGAGGGAGCGGCGGCTATATCCACCTCCGCTCTTTGCAGGTGATGACGCAAACACGGAAAACTGTGGTGTGTCAACTTAAACAAAACACTAAACTAAAAATATATATGATAATTACATTTAAATAAGAACATAACCCGTAGATATGAAGATATGCAGAATATTTCTAAGGCCACAAGAGAAAACAAAAAAACATCCTAAGCCTCAGCATATCCGATAAATGTAAAAAAAAATTGGTTCCTTTGCCCAGCAATGTAGCAATGTAATCAGGCAACGTGTTTAGAGTGACGAACTGAATGCATTATCTGCAGTTCTCTTTGCTCCCAGGCTTCCTGCCCAGTCCTAGAGACTCGACCAACCCAAGGCGTGGACCACAACCCCCCTCCCCTTGCTCCCATGCTTCGCTGTGCACCAACCCACGGACCGGTGACGAATGCGACGATGAAAGCGAGAAGAGAAGGCAGATGGAAGGTACTCGCTGCCAAATCATTCCACGCCAAACCCATCGCTCATCTCCATCGAATGGGACCTTGAGCCCAAGCCCCCGTTTGGGTCGTCCGTGCAAGCGCACCCACAGTGCCCACGTTTCTAATGAGACCGGTGCTCTCCCCCCACCCCCCCAGAGGCGCGAGTCAATGTTTAATCTCGCCAAGCTGCCTCCCCGCCACCGTCTCCAACACTGCCTGCCTGCCCCTACCCTCTCCGCAGAATCGTGGGGATGATGAGAGGGAGAGCCGAGGGAATAAAAGACCTTTGCGCAGACTGATTGGAAGCAGAAATTAAAACTGCAGCTCAAGAGGCCATCACTTTTTTTCTGTCTGGTTTCCGAGTACAGTTTCTCATATTCACGCCCTCCCTCGCTGCAGCAATCATCGATTTGAGATGCCGGTGCATTCCACAAAGCCCGGCTCTGTGGCCCGCCTCTCCGATCTTGCTTTGCGCGTTATCGTCACGGAGATAATCCCACCCAGAGCTTTGTTTCGCATGCCGCAAATCGTGATTAAGATTCAACAACTCTCCTTGCGGCGTTGAGCCGCTACGAGCAACGCGCGTGCACGCATACACACACCCCGCAAATGTGGCGAGCAAAGTGTGTCACGCGGCGGCGACAGAAAAACACACAGGATTAGCAGAGCTCTGACAAAAAATGTTTAAATTGGTTAAATATCACACCCCGGCTTCAGACGAACTATTCGGGGAGGGAACGAGCTGGGTTTTAAATCCGCGCTGCCCTTTTGCCTAATGAGTCTCTCCTGCCGAGTCTTGCCTTGAGCTGCCCCCTCCTGCGGGAGCGTATGCAGCCCGTGTGGCGGCCACCCCACCACCTAGCAGCACGACACGCACGCCCCCCCCCCAAACACGCACACACACACACACGCGGCCCCCCACGGCCGCTACACCCAGCGCACACGCACGCACACACGCCGCCATCACCGCAAACACAAAACACCGACTCGTGACGCGAGTGGCACGTTACGAAGCGACGCCGTCGGGTAGTGAGCCATCATCTTCAGAGCACACCTCACACACGTGTCAGCCGAGACTGGGTTCGGGTCAGCCGGTTGTGACGATACTGGAAAAATGTGAAGAGGCTAAACTCGCTTCGAGCTCAACTCCATGCAGTTGCTTGAGTTGGGGGCAAGGAGGGGAGGGGGCATGGGCATGAGCCAACGTGTATAGAGGCTGCCATTCTTCAGGTCTGATATTAAGATATAACTTTACATATGTAATATTAAATCGACTCTGTGTTATTTAATCCTGGAAGTGGGAGTCAATCTGTAGGCACCAGGCACTGGGTAAGAAGAGCCACTGTGTGATCGTACGGCGGTGAGAATAGAGACCACACATTCGTAAATTTCAGCGCATACGAGAGTGCCGTAATTATGCGAGAGCTGCGTATGATAAACAATATCCCAATTAAATCTCCTTTTGAATAAATTAAACGAGGGAGCTGTGCGGCACGGCTTGGGGGGGGGCATTTCTGCTGCTATTCTTAGGAACTTCCACGAGTTAGATTTTTTTGGTTTGGCTCTTGGAACCCTTTTGGAATTTACACCGAATTCGTAGCAGTGAGCCACAGCTCCTAAACTACGTGGCCCGTAATCCAGCACTGTGAAGGGCAGAGAGGGTTGGCAGATCGCACAAATGTTGTTAAGACTCCCTTCTCGTGGGCGTAGAGAAGGTGCCATACCTTGGCATGCCAGGAGAAGGCAGTAACAGCAAATTTGATTAATCGCCATCTGTTTCCATCTGGGACGTTGCCTACTCTTGTGCGTGGGTTTTCTCTGGGTGCTCTGGTTTCCTCCCACGTGTGTAATAAATAAATAAAAAACATCATTTAATTAGCTGAACACATCTTAGAATGAAACCCCAATGTAGGACCCTCCTAAAAAAAAAGAGTCCTACAACTCGGTGTGGCTTTCCTGGATACATTAGTCAATTATAATTATTAATCGCTGTATACTATCCTCTTTGGTTCTATTGGGTAAAGTCACGTAGGTGAAAATAAAATAACAAAAAATCACGACGTTTCGGCCACAACACAAGCGGCCTTCATCAGGTGAAGGGACGAGACTGTCTGGAGGACAGCGCTGGAGTGGAAGAAGCCACGCTTAGATCACGACCTTTAAGCTGTGTGAGAAGAAAAAGACCACGCGCCTTGACAAAGGAATTAGCATATAATTTAGCATTGAAATGGCTCATTGAAATAGCTAAGTTAAAGTATACACATCCGCAGAGGTACCCCTTGACAAAGGAATTAGCGCTGGAGTGGAAGAAGCTGTATACTATTTAACTTTTCTTGTCCGAATTATTCTGGCGACCCAGGTCACTCTTGCAAATGCAACTCATCGTGCTCTCGTGCCTTCTCATCGTGCTCTCGTGCGTTCTCATCGTGCTCTCGTGTCTCATCCTGCTCTCGTGCCTTCTCATCGTGCTCTCGTGCCTTCTCATCGTGCTCTCGTGTCTCATCGTGCTCTCGTGTCTCATCGTGCTCTCGTGTCTCATCGTGCTCTCGTGCGTTCTCATCGTGCTCTCGTGCGTTCTCATCCTGCTCTCGTGCCTTCTCATCGTGCTCTCGTGCATTCTCATCCTGCTCTCGTGCGTTCTCATCGTGCTCTCGTGTCTCATCGTGCTCTCGTGCGTTCTCATCCTGCTCTTGTGCCTTCTCATCCTGTTCTCGTGCGTTCTCATCCTGCTCTCGTGGGTTCTCATCGTACTCTCGTGCCTTCTCATCGTGCTCTCGTGCGTTCTCATCGTGCTCTCGTGCGTTCTGACACCGGGCCAAACGGATAGACGCGGGCCCGACCGTGATCGACCGCGCAGCAGCACCGGAGCTTCGGAGGGGAGAATTTGCCGAGCGGCAGGGATTTAAAAAAGGGCCAAATCGCGCAGGCCGGCCCTTCACACCGGCGACAAGACGGCCACCACGGCAGCGCGTAGAGGAGCCACGGCTTCCTTCAGCGCCACAGTCGGCGGGACCGTTTAGCCTCGCGGAATTCATCAACCTGTCCGTGATACTTTCGTTGGCTGCGGCCCCGTGAGCACAACAGACAATGATTCCATCATGGCAGGGGTCAACCGTGGCGAGCGGCCCCCTCTCTTGGGTGCGGGCCACGACCGGCGCGCTCACCTGTCGGGCGACTGTGCGCCGGCCGGGTCCTCCGAGCCAGGCAGGACGATGGCGATGCCGCCGCCGCCGCCGCCGCCGGTACCGCCGGCGCCGCGCTCGTCCAGGGAGGGGTTGGTGATGCCGCACGGTCGCTGCTCCTCCCTCTGGCCGCCCGTGTGGTTCCGCGCGTTGCTGGGGTTCACGCCGTCTACGGTGGGATCGGCAGGCCAAGTGAGCCGGGCGGGAGAGGGACTGCTCTCCGTTGTCTGTGTGAGCATCGTTACGACTTCCCAGCGTACGCTGTGCCATTCTATCCCTCTCGCTCACTCAAATCAGAAGAAAAAACAAACAAACTAATACCCCTTCTGTAAATAAAATTGCACGGAACATTTTTGAAGTATGAAGCAAACAATCGCTACGATGATAGCGCGACCAAGTGGCTTATCACGTGGAAATTCTGAGCAGCCAATGCTCTTAAACGCATGTTTTTTAATGGAGGGAAAAACCGGAGAACATCTCCGCAACCATGAGGAGAACATGCAAACTCTAAATATACAAGCATCACGAACGGGATAAAAAACAATGAACCCACGACCTCCTGTATACCAGGCGAGGTAGTTAACATCTCCTAGCCACCGTGGCGCCCCTATTACAGCTCAAGATGCAGCAAGAAAAAAACACGTCAACGATGTTGATAGTTTGGGCAAGATGCTCAACTGTTAAGCATCTTGAGAAGCAGTAACCTTAAAGCACTTTATAATTCCAAGGTGTATTGCAGAATGTTGACATGTTTCTCGGCCATGCTATGCAATCAAAGCTGTTGACAACGACAGTTAAATTCACGGTGTCTCAATTTCCACACAGGCTCATCCACATGTCTAAGTTGACGGCCAGTCTCTTCGAAATTTCAAATCAGTAATATACTATAAACAATTCAACCAACATTACTGTGGGGGGGGGGGGGGGGTTGTTGAGTGGTAGTGCAGTGATTAAGACATTGACATTAAGAGCCCTTAGTTCGATTCCCAATAATGGCTAATATCGCTGGTGGATTGAATCTTAAATCGGTAATGGGCCACGTTTCCCTTGGACCAGTGTGGTGAAGTATGGTCAAACATCCCCCCATGACTGACACGGCACAGGGAAACCTTTATCCAGCAGTCGATTAAAAAAGGCCTGTAGAATATTATTATTATCCGAGTTTCCATCACAAATTTTTTTCTCTCAAACTTTTGATGCCAGTGTATGTCGGGGGCAGATTTCCCCGGATGATTCTCGAGGGCGAGTCACAGCACGAGGCCTGCGCTGGCAATGCAGTGATGCAAACGTTTCCCGAAACGCAGCCACCAGCTCATAGAAGCGCTGAAAACCCCACAACGCTCAGGAGAATTTTAACCCCCCAGCCGCAGGATATTTTGTACACATTTGCTGTGCACAGGCCCCAAGGACCAGATCGGCAAGCAGCCAGCAACAAACAGCACCATCAAAGTTGGCGCCGCGGTGGTTAGATGTTAACTACCTCGCCTGGTATACAGGATGTCATGGGTTCGATCCCGACCCTGACGCCTGTATATTCGGAGTTTGCGTGTTCTCCCCGTCATTGCGTGGATTTTTCTCTGGGTCCTCCGGTTTTTACCCTCCACATTTAGAAACATGCGTTTAAGGTATTTGGCTGCTATAAAGTTCCACGTGATAAGCCACTTCGTTGAGCTATAATTTGTGATAGCCAGGTCGCTTCTGAAAGACAGCTGTATCACGCAGTGGGATTTGCCTGGTACATTTTAAATATATGTTTATGTAATAGAGAAGAGTGTGAAATATTTGTTGAATTGAGCAAGGTTATTATGAGAGCTTGGGAAAGGAAGCAATGAAAGGGAATTCAAAAGTTGAGCAGTGCGTGGGAATAAGCAGAAAGACGCGTTGTGATCAGCAGTGTGGCGAGTGAGTGGGTGAGTGAGTGAATGAGTAGACGAATGGGTGAGTACGGGAGTGGATGAGTGGGTGGATGAGTGGATGAGCAAGTGGGCTGTTCTGACCCAGTGTGGAGGTCACACACAGCATGGATGAGGTGACAATCAGTGCCTGGTAGATCGAGTCCTCAATAATGGGTGGAAGAATCAACGAGTGAAATTCATGGCAATGGTACCCATGGTAATAGCAATAGAAGAGTGAAAAGGAAGTGCCCGACTGCCCAGTGCGTGTGTGACTGGAGTGAATCGGTGAGTGCTGGATCATCAATCAACCTAATTGCTTTACAGTGAATTCTATCCGGTGAGAGGGTTACACGCAGCCACTATCCGACTATCGGGCGTGCATAAATCCACCTGACAAATACACCTAATGTACCCTATTATTTATTAAATAGAGCAAATTAGCCGAGCAGCATATGTGCGTCAGTGTATTTTTTTCCCCAGCGAATCTAACTATAATAAAGTGCCCTGATGTAACCTGCGCCACTGTGGGCCAGGAAACAGAAATTCGGCCAGCTCAGTCACTGAGACAAGGCCCAGCCAGCTCAGTCACTGAGACAAGGCCCGGCCAGCACAGTCACTGAGGCAAGGCCCGGCCAGCTCAGTCATTGAGACAACGCCCAGCCAGCTCAGTCACTGAGACAAGGCCCGGCCAGCTCAGTCACTGAGACAAGGCCCGGCCATCTCAGTCACTGAGACAAGGCCCAGCCAGCTCAGTCACTGAGACAAGGCCCATCCATCTCAGTCACTGAGACAAGGCCCGGCCATCTCAGTCACTGAGACAAGGCCCAGCCATCTCAGTCACTAAGACAAGGCCCATCCATCTCAGTCACTGAGACAAGGCCCATCCATCTCAGTCACTGAGACAAGGCCCGGCCATCTCAGTCACTGAGACAAGGCCCAGCCATCTCAGTCACTAAGACAAGGCCCATCCATCTCAGTCACTGAGACAAGGCCCATCCATCTCAGTCACTGAGACAAGGCCCAGCCAGTTAAGTCACTAAGACAAGGCCCATCCATCTCAGTCACTGAGACAAGGCCCATCCATCTCAGTCACTGAGACAAGGCCCAGCCATCTCAGTCACTAAGACAAGGCCCAGCCATCTCAGTCACTGAGACAAGGCCCAGCCATCTCAGTCACTGAGACAAGGCCCAGCCATCTCAGTCACTGAGACAACGCCCAGCCATCTCAGTCACTGAGACAAGGCCCAGCCATCTCAGTCACTGAGACAAGGCCCAGCCAGCTCAGTCACTGAGACAAGGCCCAGCCAGCTCAGTCACTGAGACAAGGCCCAGCCATCTCAGTCACTGAGACAAGGCCCAGCCAGCTCAGTCACTGAGACAAGGCCCAGCCATCTCAGTCACTGAGACAAGGCCCAGCCAACTCAGTCACTGAGACAAGGCCCAGCCATCTCAGTCACTGAGACAGACATGAACTCACGTAAATGTCTAAAGGATTGTTTGTGAGCCTCTCTGTTTTTGTTGTTGTTTGGATGCGAACGCTACATCAAAGGGGAAGGGATTTTATTGAAAGGGATGAGGTGAGCAGAGTGCCTGCCCGTGCAGCGTGGGCGCAACGCTTCAAGTGACTGCTCGCAGAAGGCACCCCAACGTGGCATTAGCATTCTACACAGAGACACCAGCTCCCACACACACACACCTCTTCACTAAACACACACACACACCTATTCACTATACACACACCTCTTCACCATACACACCACACACACACACACCTCTTCACTATACACACCACACACACATACCTCTTCACTATACACACACACCTCTTCACTATACACACACACACCTCTTCACTATACACACACACACTTCTTCACTATACACACACACCTCTTCACTATACACCCCACACACACACACCTCTTCACTATACACACCACACACACACCTCTTCACTATACACACCACACACACACCTCTTCACTATACACACCACACACACACACCTCTTCACTATACACACCACACACACACACACCTCTTCACTATACACACCACACACACACACCTCTTCACTATACACACCACACACACACCTCTTCACTATACACACTACACACACACCTCTTCACTATACACACCACACACACACCTCTTCACTATACACACCACACACCTCTTCACTATACACACCACACACACACCTCTTCACTATACACACCACACACACACCTCTTCACTATACACACCACACACACACCTCTTCACTATACACACCACACACACACCTCTTCACTATACACACCACACACACCTCTTCACTATACACACACACCTCTTCACTATACACACCACACACACACACCTCTTCACTATACACCCCACACACACACCTCTTCACTATACACACCACACACACACCTCTTCACTATATACACCACACACACACCTCTTCACTATACACACCACACACACACCTCTTCACTATACACACCACACACACACACCTCTTCACTATACACACCACACACACACCTCTTCACTATACACACCACACACACACACCTCTTCACTATACACACCACACACACACCTCTTCACTATACACACCACACACACCTCTTCGCGATACACACCACACACCTCTTCACTATACACACCACACACACACCTCTTCACTATACACACCACACACACACCTCTTCACTATACACACCACACACATACCTCTTCACTATACACACCACACACACACCTCTTCACTATACACACACCACACACATACCTCTTCACTATACACACACCACACACACACCTCTTCACTATACACACCACACACACCTCTTCACTATACACACCACACACACACACCTCTTCACTATACACACCACACACACCTCTTCACTATACACACCACACACACACCTCTTTACTATACACACACACCTCTTCACTATACACACACACACCTCTTCACTATACACACCACACACATACCTCTTAACCTTACACACACACACACCTCTTCACTATACACCACACACACACCTCTTCACTATACACACCACACACACACCTCTTCACTATATACACACACACCTCTTCACTATACACACCCCACACACACCTCTTCACTATACACACCCCACACACACCTCTTCACTATACACACCACACACACCTCTTCACTATACACACCACACACACCGCTCTTCACTATACACACCCCACACACACCTCTTCACTATACACACCACACACACACCTCTTCACT